TTGCTGTCTAGCCCTGTTTCGTTTGACGTGCTTTTTGTCGTGTTCCTTTTCCTCCTCCTTCGTTTCTTTTCCCACACTGCCATTTTGGCATGCGCCTCCACGGCCCCCAACTGCGCGATTCAACTCTGGCACCTGCTCGGACTCCAAGACAGCAAAATCCCATTTGTCCGTCTCGCACAGGCAAAAGGGCAAAATGCCACAATGCCAAAAGGACCGTCAAACTGTCAGGAAAGGGCTTTGTGTGTGTAATGGCTCGTATGTTTTGTACCGTATGAGGTGAGAGGGTTGGTGGGGGTGAGGTCAACGCCACGTCGAATGTCAAGCACACACAGCAGTTTCCCCTCGCGTCATTTGATTTCGTATTGTCGATGGCCTAGACCGAGGTATGTGTATTTTCTTCTTTTCTCTCTTTTTCGTGGGAGCAAAATGAGCGTTTGCTTCTAGTCAGCTCTAGGCTGGCCGTCGTATGGCTTTCTTTCTTCTGTACAGCTTCCCCATCGTACCTGCCGAATGCAGTTGCCCTGTTTTGAATTGAATTGGGCAACCGCGCTCGAGGTGTCTTTTTAGTGTATCTGGGTTTGGCAGGTGGGCTTGGTGCGTTGGGCCACCAACAGCAAGCGCACACGGCGACATTCACACACATGTCACTGGGAGCTTGTTGGCGCACACCCCCCAAAGTCATGCATCCGCTCCTTCCCACGCCGTAGCTCTCTATTGACACCTCCAACAACAGGTGCCAACGCCATGTATCGCACCTACTCCGGCAAAGTCTTTCGCTGAAGCTTACATTTGGTTCCGCTAGCGCCTGCCCCTGCAAGGCACGCACACCAGTCGTTCTTTCTGTTTTACACATACTCTCCAAATGCTCAAACCGTTGAAATTACAGTGGTACTGTAGCGGAGCTGCGTCGGTGTTGGCTGCTACCTTCCCAACCCCTGTCTGCATATCTTACCTGGCCTGATTCCAGGGAAGGGCCTGCACGTCGTACTGTCAAAAGTGTGTTTTATTTAGAAAGTGACAAGGGTAGAACCATAGAGGGAAGGTGCGGGTCTTGTTTCATGCTCTGCACGGCCAATTGGATATACCTCGTTTTGGTGCATATCGTCGGGCTTACTTTTGTCGGTGAGCAGGCCGACCGAAACGTCAACATCACGCATGTGAACCCTTTCGGACCGTCCCTCGGACCTCTCTTCAACCGTTTCTCTATTTCTGTATTTGGAAAGGAGACAGTAAATCACTTTGACGTTGCTTACGATGTTAATTACACCCAAGACAACATAAAATGCTACTCCAGCATCTCACTCTTGATTTCCTTTTCTGTGGAGTCGAGGTTGTTGTTTACTGTTCAAAATACGTCGTACGACATACATTGCTCGGGGACGAAAGTCTCTGGCCTTCTCAACAAGCATTATACTCACAGAGCTGCAGCCATTTCCGCCACAGCACGAAGTACTCCGTACCCACTCCCAGCCTGTGCTTTTTCAGGCCTACTCCGTAAACGTACAAAAAAGGGGGCATGTCCAAACAAAAACGACCAGACAAGGACAGGGGCCATACGGAGTATGCAGAGCATCTTTCTTGCAGCCCCGTAGCCAAGCCTGTAAGATGTCATGGCTTCGTAAGATGCAAAATGTAGGGCGTGTACAGAGCACGTCGTGGAGGACGTCTACGAAATATTCCGCTCACAACGGGAGACAAGATCCTGGTGATGTCTCGGGAGTCCCATCTGCCACGTCGTTCTTGTGTATTGTTCTGAATTGGCAAATGCATTCGCTTGCAGCTACGCCTGGCCAGCGCCCACCACTGTATTCACCAGACTAGACTGCTAAAAACGAGCTGCGAGCTGGTTATGCTTATATCCGCCCGTTCTCAACCCTTGGCCGCTCCTGTTGGCCTGTGCAAATAGAATGAAACGTGGATGATCATGATGTGGCTGTGGTTTTGCCTTTTTTTTTTTTTTTTTTTTTTTTTTTTTTTTTTTTTTTTTTTCTTTCTCTTTTCTTCTGCATTTTTCTCTCTCATTCTCGTGCAACACATCTCCTTTTACATGGCTCACTTCATACCTTGCCCTGGGCCTGGACTGGTGACACCTGGTTCTTCTGACTGACAACGTCAAGTTCGACGCTGAGGCAGGCTGGCGGTGATAGACGGCCTGACGACCAGCGGAGCAACCGGGAAGAAAGAACCACGGAGTACGACAGAAGGTTCTGAAACCCCATCGGACGATTCCCATCTCTGACCAAAGTCCTCTCGGCTGGAGATGGACGGGACATCCATGCTCTGAAAGTACGGCGAGGCCAGGGGAATAACCAAATAGGAAGGTGATGGATCTGCGGGTGATGAGGAGGCCGTGGCAGGTTTACCTCTGGCCTTTGAGATTGGCATGTCTCTGCATCTCTTCACAGATGTAAAGAGAGTCATAGCATGACGCACAATAATGCGCTCTGGCCTTCATGCTTACACCTCGTTCTCACTGCCCAGAGGCTTTGGTCAGATCTCGCCTCTGCAAGTCCATGTTACCCTTTCCACACTTTTCTGTATTTTTCTTCTTTTCTTTGAGCAGAGCACCTTGACGCTTGATAGTTTCTTTTTCAGCATTGTCCGCCACCTCCTTGCTGACCAGCATCAGCATCGAGCAACTCCCTCGTTTCCCAGTCGTTTGCCTCGGCGACTGTTTTGGCTTCTGCTTGGCAGCCACCCTTTTTGTGCTCAGTCCACACGCTGCCGCCGGCGTTTGTGCTTTTTCGTGTTGCCCTTTGAGAAACTATGCTTGCCCAGTTCCGGGTGCCCTGAGCCTGGATGCGTCCCCCACGGTTCCCCTTTCTGTTGGGTCTGTTTCGACATTCTGCATTGCCAAAGGCCGACTTTCTCCAGTTTCCCCTTGTTTTATTTTTCTTGTTGTTTTTCTCCTTCTGCTTTTCTTAAACCCCACCCGTAGTTGTCGATTCCTCGGTGCATGTCGTGCAAATCGCAAGCGGAGTCGATCATGGCGGCTCCTCCTGGCATGTCAAATCCAATTACATCTTGGTCGATCAGCAAATCCACGTTACAACCCGTTGTTTCTGTTTCTGTCGCCCCATGTCCGTGCCCTGTGTAAGTGTCTAGGATGTCTTATTGTTTGGGGAGCCCCTAGCGTGTCGTACTCCGTAATGATCCCTCCATTCCCAAGCACCAACACAAGACTTGCAGCCCAGTGCAGACATGTGTCGAGCAAGGAACGTCGTACGGAGTAATACGACATACTTGGTCAAGATTCATGTATCATGTATCGCCGCGCTGCGCCCTTCCAGACACAGAGTGACGATGGCCCAGCAACCGGTCATTGAACGGCCTTGCCTGTCGGTGGCCCAGTCCACACGCCGTCCCGCCGTCGCGATTCGTCCCAGACACTCCGCACGCCGTGGACCGGACTGCCCTACGCAGGGACGAGGCAGCCGAGAATGTGCAGCTAAACATATGCTCCGAGCACAGAAGATCTCTGGGAGAACGAGCTGAAAACAGGTCAAAAAGGGGTAAAGCGCCCGAAGAAACGAGCCTAAGCACTCGGAAATGTGAAAAAAGGAAGCAGAAAAGGAAAAAGAGACATAGTGGCAGAACTCTGTTTGGCTTCTGGGCTTCTGGGCTTCTGGGCTTCTGGCCATGTTCTACTCATGCGCGATCGCTCCAACAGGCTAAGCTTACCTAGCAGGGCGATCAGTGACCAGTTGACTTCCCCCACTTACTTGGAGCGATCTGACCAGGGCTGGACAGGACAAGGAACAGCGCGACAAGGGCTGTCCAGGGCTGCACACTGTCCGTTGTTTAAACCTTTCTAGTGCTTCTTTCTTAGTGTAGTACCTTTGGGTGATTATTTACATGTCACCCTTTTGGCGTTCAAGTCTTGGGTCGCCCCTGCCTGTTGCTTGTGAGATAATTACCATTCGCCATTCGCCTCTTGGGTCTGTCCTTCCCAGGCTGGCCCGGCCTGGTCTGTCACCCCATCGAAGCTTCCTCGCACGGCGTCAGTCACTCGCACGCCACCCCTCTCCCCGGTGGCTCCTTCCTCTACTAACACGCCCTGTTTCCCTTTCCAGCTGTCCACCAGCACCTGCCTCTGCACAAGTAACAGTGACTACTTTCCTCAGCGTGACAGGGTTTTGTTTACTCGTACCTTCCTGTCTTCACTCCCCGATGGGCGCAAGTCATAGTGGGCCTATATTACTACGCGCACGCTTGTCCAGATTCTTTTTCTTTTCTCCATCTTCCTCTTCACTTCAACTCCCGGCCCATCCTACACTACAGAGCACATCCTCCACCGTTCTCGACCCATGCTCGGCCACTACATAGTCTGCCAACCTGCCGCCCCCGGTCTCACCCTTTTCATTCCTCTGCCTCGTCTTCATTGTTTCTGGCATTTGCACCAGGACTTTTTCTCAAAGGGTTCTCCTCTTGCTTACTCCTTTCTATGTCTTTCCGTATAAAGGGATATTATTTTCCATTACTTCTTGTTTGTTTCTCCTGGTCTGGTTAGAGGACGATCGATCGATACCTTTTCTTCTCTTCTTTCTCCATCTTAGTCTCGGCTCTCTCCACCGTGATTATCGGCTTTCACCGTCTTCGACATATATAATTTTGACAACACTATTTCTTCATCTCCCTCCACGTCGTCCTCCTTTTTTCTCTCTACTGTATTAATACCCGCTCTTGGGCATACGATATCTCAAACACGGGACGTGCTGGACACAGTCTACCTCCTTTACAAAAACCACATAGTCATAGTCTCGACTTGGTTTGCCGCATCTCTTAATTACTTTCCGCTCCGCACCTCCTAACAGCTGCTTTCTTCTTTTTACTTCGACGTTGTCGTCTCATCAGACCGCTCGCCTCCGACACACACGCAGACCTTCCTCGAGGGCATGGCGTAGCACCACCTGCGGCATCGAACAACGTCCTGATAACCTAGGCACCTAAGCCAACACCCATACATCACGCAGTCAGTGACCGATATGACCGTTGCCATTATGCGAGGTGTCCCGACTTCACGCCCGGCCTTCGAGCCGAGCAGCCCAAACGCATTGCGCAACGGCAGCCAACTACCATCACAGTACCCCGGAGTAGCAGCTGGACGATACGCGGAGTCGACGCCTCTCTCTCTACCGCCAATTCGCGAAGCACTGAGCTTTTACTATTCCGGTCCGTCGGACAGCACCACAGCATCGTCGAGGGCGACGTCGGTGCCGTCGGGGCCCCACCGGCGGTCTCACTCGCCCAAATCAGCAAACGAATCACTCGCTGGATCGCGAGACAACATCTATGTCCTCTCCAACGACAACGAACGGGAGACGCGCAGACCCGTTGGCGACGCGGAGCGCGAGGAACGCTACAACCAGATCCCCAGAGGATACAGCAGCGGCATGTCGTACCACCACAGCGAGTCGTCTGGCATGACGGAGGGAGCTGCCACCACCTCTGTCGGATCGTCGCCGCCTTCGTCGTCTGCCTATAGCGCTATGGCCGACGGAGAGCCGTGGTCGTCCAGACGGTATACAGACTCTGCCAGCCACTTCTCGGGCTCCGGCCGCCCCGCGCTTCCCGCTCTCCCTCACATGATGGACGACCACCCGCACCACCAGCCGCACGCGCCACACCCACCGCATCATCCACACGGCAGTGTGCCTGGCCCGTACCAGCAACACCCTTCTCGCACCCAGTCTTTGTCCGGTGGCTCGATCGGCAGTTTCGACCGGGCTGTATTCCCACCGTCCGCTTCGTCGTCCGGTGCCAGTTCCTCGTTCGACCGACACCCGTCTAGACCGATGTCTTCCTACCACCGTCATCAGCCAGACGGCTACTACGGCAGCAACGAGTTCCGTGGACGCGGCATGTCCAGCAGCCAGGGCGCCATGAGCAGCCACGGTGGAATGCTGGGTGGTGTCAACAGTGGCCGTCTCGACAACAACAAGCAGCGAAAGCGGCGTGGAAACCTACCCAAGGAGACAACCGACAAGCTGCGGGCCTGGTTCTCCGAACACCTCCACCACCCGTACCCGTCTGAAGATGAAAAACAGGAGCTCATGCAGCAGACGGGTCTTCAAATGAGTAAGTCAACTTTGAGCTTTAGTTTCGGACGGTTGTGGTTCCTTTTTTTTTTTTTTTTTTTTTTTTCCCAATTTTGTGCTTGGTTTTTGCGATTGGGCATGAACCAGCAACGGTTAACTAACAGGTCTTTTTGTCTTTTCGTATTTACAGACCAGATCAGCAACTGGTTTATCAATGCACGGCGGCGCCACTTGCCGGCCATGATCAACAACGTCCGCGCTGTGTCCGGTGCCATGTCTGGCGGCCGTAGTGCTGGCGGCGGAGGCATGGGCTCGAGTATGAGCGGTAGGGGCGGCGTCATTGATGGTGGCCACGGCAGCTCCAGCAACGCTCCAGGCATGAGTCCCGGAGAAATGCGGCACAAGGGTTACGCGCTTCCTAATGAGCGGATGTACACGTCACCGGAGCGTATATACGGATCGTATGACCGGCAATTGGAGTCACGGCCACCATCTCTCTACCCAGGCAATGAGCACCACCACCTCGTTGACCCACGCCACATCAGTCCGGCCAGTGACGACGACTATTGAGCGCGAAAGCTGGTAGGACCATTCTTGTACCACGACGATTATGAAACGCTGTAACGAGGCGTCAAAAACTTCTATACCCCATACACGCTCGTCTCGGAATATACAGGCACATGCGTTTTAGACATGATATAATAATTTTCAAATGACGAACAAAAGACAGCCCAAAAAGGGAAATCCAAGTGGCATACGAAGTAGTATGGGACCGCAACGAATCAACAGAGGCAGTGTCACTGACATGTGTGGAGTTTCGACGCTCTGTTACAGACCGCGGCTCCGCCACGTCCGCCCATTCCAGCATAGCCTGAGCCAAAGAGAAGGAATATGTCCTTCTTGTCAAATGTTTTGCAGGGGAGAAGGACCGAAGACAGGCTCTGACCAAGTTGAGTCCTGTACAAGGTCCTGGCAGAAGAGGGCGCCGAAAAGGGGAAAGGGGGAAGCAGGAGAGAGGAAGACTTTCATGAAAGTGACGAGGAAGACTTGTTTCGAAACATGGGAGAGGGGTGAATAACCCATCCCCCTGCAAACCGCAAACCAAGACCCCTTGAACCATCTCTTTCTCGTTGCCTGCATCGGGGAATTTTTGACACCATCCTGGCTAACGCCTTCTCTGGCCTCGCCACTTGATTCTTCTTTTCTCACCAAGACCGTGTCTTCTCTGGTCCACAGATGGCTGGCACTATTGGCCGTCAAATATTTGTTTTCGGGTCTAGTACTATTAATAATGAACAGACAAAAAGGTGCCAGGACAGCACAAGGGTATATACTACGAATAGAATAAATCCGAATCACCACGTTTGATAGAGACTGTTGGACGCAAGGAAAACGCATGCTAGACTCTGCCAAGGTCACCATGTATTCGACGCACGCCGTCTGCATCTTTTCTGTACTTTTGTGTTTGTGTGCGAATATTACCGCAGTGTCGAAAGGTGCAGAAAAGGTGGATATACATCGTATTCTCTGTGGAATAATTGAAACGATGGGGCATTGCAGCGAACGCTCAGACAAGGCGGGAAGCATCGCAAGGAAAACTAAATTTAACCCTCAGTACGACGCATTTGTGGCGTAAAACGAGAAGACAAAAGAAATGGCAATTCTCTCACTGAATTTCTATTTTGATTGCCAATGTAATGTCGCTTGGATCTGGGTGTATGTACAGAGAGTCTTTTCTGTTTTCGTTTCCTTTTATTTGGGGGGCTCGCGTTATTCTCAGCAGCAGCCCTACTCAACGTCGCCCAGGCCACTGCTACTTTGCTGCGTTCTTCTTAAACTTCTTGAAACTAAGGGATTCTTTTTATTATTAGAAACGATGTACATGTACGGCTTAGGGAATAGGGATGGGGGTGCGTGGAAATACAACGTATGGATGTGCATGGGCTAATATGAGTCGTACATCGTAGTGACAGAAAAGAGAGCCCCCTTTCTTGTCTTCCTGTCTAAAATGCATTCCCAAATGCATGTCAGAAACAAGTGCAAAGAGACGCTCCGCCAGTGGACAGGCAATTCAGAGAAGAAAACCACGCTGGCCAAGACCTAACTGCCCTGCTCCTCCCCTGCTCCTCCCCTGCTTGCCTTGCCTGACAGCAAGATGGAGCGGTCTTCCCCCTGGTCCATCCATCATCTCCTGACGATACGATGGGGGATATCATCCAAAGCGGACTCTCGTCCCCCAAGAGACCGCTGTACATGAACAAAAATAATACAATACGTTGTAGGTCGGAAAACGACGTTGTAACGGAAAGCCAACCGTTTTTATTTTGTATACCAAACAGGTACAATTGGAAAACAGGACAAGAAAACCGGCCCATGCTTCTCGTTTTCTGGCGTCGCGGACTCATTCATCAAAATCGACAAGAATACCGTGCCCGAGAGCAGAAGAATGGCAATAATGATACTCTTTCTGTCTCTCTGTGCAACGAACGACATACAACATACTCCGTACGTTGGAGACAGCCATTGCAATTTGGTTAGAACCAGACCACCCAAAACGGAGAAATTCCTCAATTCCTCAATTCCTCAATTCCTCCAGCGTCGTATTCTTGCTCGACTTGGCCTGGCCTCACACCCCGGCAGCTTCCGAGCAGAGAGACAAGGGGAGACAGGGGGCGGGAAGATGGACCACTTGGAATGCGGAGGAAAGAACATGCATCGTACGGAGTACGACATACATAATACGACAGTAGTATATGCCCAGATGACCGAAATACTTTCAAAAGCCAAAAGAGGCCAACAGCCAATCAAGAGAAGGATAGACTCCTGAAGAGTTTGTGTGTGAAGCTATCTCGACCAGCACACTTTCTGTTGTTTTGTATTATCCTGTCATGCACACACTCTCTCCCTCTCTTTCTCTAAAACATACTATCTGCGTCCTCTCATGATTAGCTCTTTGCGAAGCTATTGTCATATTCTGTCCACTAATACGGCGTACTTTGGAGAGTTTTACTTTCCTCTGGGCATATCCGTTCCGCTATGCGCCGTGCTTCGACGATGTCCTGTCCAGCATAAACCGCACCGTACATTGCACAGAAATCCTCACGGAAAATGACAAGTCGTCAGATGGTCAAGATTGTGTCTCCGAGAACTGGCTGTAGATCGGTTTCTGACAACGTTCTGTGTTCTGTGGCACAAGATATGTCATGGTTGACAAAGCACATGTCTCCGGTTGCAGTGTACACAAACCATGGCGGTCAAGACGCAAGACAACGGCGCACGACACAAGATGCAAGAAGACGATGCACAAAACACAAACACAAACACAAAACTCGAAACGCAAGACAGGCATATGGGATCGAGAAACACATGGCCAGGCAGCGGGAGCCGACGGCGCGTTGTCAGGGTCCAACAATCGGCATGTGGCAGCAAAGGATGACGGGCACAGCCATGTTGCTGATTGACCAGCCCTGGGGATGACGGCGTCGCGTTGTTGTTCGTTCTATCAAGGACGCATACAGTCACCCCTGCATCTCCCAATGAAACGAAAAGAAAAAAAAGAAAAAGAAAAAGAAAAGAACATATACTGGGTAGAACCGCATAAGAAACGTTTCCTGTCACCTGAAAGAGCGGTGACGGGTCAACGTGTACACAGCATGGCCTTGTACAGAGGCAGCCAACCCTCTTCTTGTCGTAGGGTCTCGGACACGTCAAGTGCTGTGCGCGTGTGCTGTACGAGAATGAGCCTCTCGTGTTTGTTTTGTTTTGTGCAAGGGATGGCCTGTCGCACGCATCTGTCATCTTGCTGTAAGCATTGAGAAGGACGTGACATATAAAAATATAAACTAAAGCACGATTATTAAATAAATAAAATCAGACCAGAGCGTGTTTGTATGGACTGCCTTTGTCGTGCGTGTAGGATGAATAGCAGTTCATCTTACTGCGTCTCATATAAAATGCTACCCGTAGGTAGATGGCTTGGATAACCTGGTCTGGATTTTGTTCTTTTGTTTTCGCTGTTCTGCTTTATGAATTCATATGTATTAATTCCATTTCTGCAGGCTGTTTGTTTCCGCCACGGCCCTTTCTTTTTACAGTCAAACGCTACAAAAGCCCTGCAAAACTCCCGTTGACAAATGTCCCAATCTCCCAGCGAGAACATCCGAGGCTGCGTGCGAATTACTTGTGATATTTGAGGGTTTTCTTTTTAGTGACATACTTTTGACACTTGCGAGCTATGCTTCTCCACTTCGACCGCCACCTGGCCGCTCTCACAGGACCCTCCTCCGCATGCAATACAGACATTCCCGGTGGTTGGCATGACTGCATACTAGTGAATGGACTTGTCCTACGACATACACCCTGATGAAATATGCCGCATGTCGTATTTGGACGTTTCTCGACCTTCCGAAATAAGACACCTGTCAAAGTGTCAGCTAATCTTTCCGCTGTCCAAGATCGAGTCTGTTGCGCTATTTTTTCTTCTTTTTCTCCTTTCGTTTCCGGTGGACTGCAGCTGTCGAGCCAGGTCTAACCGAACGGAACAATGACTCTGAAACGCTGCCAATGGGGGCCAAGTACAGAGTACATAACGCAGAGGACACATACATCGAAAGTCGATGGCCCTGTCTCTCCAGACAGACGCTCGATCCAGGTCAACAAGGACCTCTCTTTGCTTTCTTTGTTTTCTCTGTTGTCTGTGTCCACCGCTGTCTATTGTCGTCTTTGTCTCGGGACAATGCGTCGCTGAACGAGACAACGAGCCGGCGTTTTACGGGGGTAGACACGGACCTCGTCTGTATCACAGTCTGGATAATTTCATAGGCCAAGATACGGTGGCTGTTGACTGTATTGTCTGTACGACACGCTGTCAGTTAGCACGCACCAAAGAAACATAAAGGAACTAAAACGAGAGGTTGCTGCCAGTCAACAATAGACGACAGACGACTGCCCCCTGGCAGACAGAACGTGAGCTTTGCCAACTGCATGATATCGTCCGTAAGATATACGTGGTGTCCGCGTTGGACGTGCATTTGTCGTCTGTCATATCGAGGCTGCACACTGCCCGCATAGACTGTCTAAAACAGATACAAGAAAGAAAAGCACAGTTTCGTCCAGGGCCCTTACAAATCTGTCTCATATTATACCTGGATCACAATATACCTCGCACTTGAGTAGTTATAGCTGGACTCCGTACGTGGCACATACTGCGTACTCCGTACACCAAATAACAAAATAGATGCACTCCCTTCTCTTCATGCAGGTCTTATGCATGCAGGCGCTTGAGCCCCCAAAATTAGGTCGAAAAGACCAGATGCAAGAGGAAAGGAACGGCACAAACTTCAGCTACAGTAGTGGGTTACATGAAAAAAAGGACGTCGTACGACCTATGCAAAATAGAAAATAAAGCAACCGCATTGCAAAACGGACCAGGGGCGGCGACTGGATATGCGCTCTCGTCTCGCTATTGCTGCCATCGCTAGTGTATGGCCAGGACCAGGGTAGGTTGGACAGGGACAAGACTGAAGATAAAAGGGAGAAAAGGACGACCGATAAAAAAAGGCAAGCAGATGGAAGAGGGATCAAAGATCATGCAGTTGTATCGGAGTGCTGTCAACGATGTTTCGGCAGCGGGACATGTCGTACGGGCGGCAACATCTTGACGAGGTTGAAACGACCACATAGGCTGGCTGGGTCAATGGAAAAAGACATCGAACGCCAGAGTCCTCCCACAATTAAATTGCCTCTGCACAATTGCGCAACATCCCGGCAGCCTGGTTTTCAGGTTTTCAGAACAGACAATATCTCCCTTCTGCCGTGCCGTGTCCTCTGCAAAGATCTGGTCCGCCCGTTTCCTATGTCCCCCACCCATAGCTAGGACCTCTCCACTCTTTCTGTCGGATGAATGACTGGCGGGTTGTATCGTGAATGGAGAACGATCAAAAAAGGGGAGGGAGAGAGATGGATCGATGGATAATCGCCCGGCCCAGTCTCAAACATCCGAGACTCAGGAGAAACCGGGGGAGCCTGGCAGTAAATCATGCCGATCCGCGGTTGAGCCTGACTTGACAGCTCCGTCAAGGCAAACGAGGAGGGCGAATTGTTGTCCTAGACGGGGACTTGCAGAATGGAATGCAACGCCGCTTTGCATGCATACACAAACACAGAGACAAACAAAAGAATCTGTTCATCAAATGTGCCCGTGTCTGCACCTGGCTTTTTTTTTGTCAGCGGCTGCCAGCAAGGAAGCCCCAGGTCTTGTTCGGCAGCTGGTACGAGAATGGACGTTGATGGACGGTTGCTTCGAGGTCTGATGGTGTTTCGGGAAAACATCGTATAGACATGCGTATGGAGCAGGCCTATGCCGTGAAATAAAGATACCGAAATCTGAACAAAAAGGCGACGGTCCATCTGCATGCGACGCTCCATGCGATGCTCTGATGTCAAATTGTCAAATTGTCAAGTCGTCAAGTTATGCCGAGCGGCTTTTCTTCTCGAGACCTTCTTCTCATTGGACGATGAGCTGACCACAACGACAACTCAGCACACCCTCTTCTCCGAAACGATGCATCATTCTTCCTGCATCAGAGCGCCGGCAGCCTGCTTTCTTGTCCGCTGAGATATCGTCCTCAGCGTATGGGACTGCATCCGCTCCTTGTTGATTGACCAGGGTTCTTCCCTTTACCCCTTCGCTCTTTGTCTCCTTTTTGTGTTCTCTGCGACCCGCATCCTGTGTGGCGTCTGCATGCCAGCCAACTGATGCTGTATGCGGGTCTCGTACCACGACGGCCTTCTCGAAGCTGAAAGCGAGCACCGTATTGGCAGTGAATGCTTGAAGGTGGCCCGCCTGATCCTCTAGGCCACACTGCCGATTCGCAGCTGGCCCTGTCACTTCTCACCCATCACACAGCCCACTGCCATCGCGTCTCGCCTCGCCCTGCCTGCTGCATGGCCCTGTCGCTGCGATCTTGGTTGCATAATAGTACAGAAGCCGGCGTACAAAGGCCAACAAGAACGGCCAGGTGGGACAGTGCGGCACGAGACATCTGGTACAAGCCACAAACGTGGACGACTTGCGTGCATGGTGTAACGAGAGCGGTGAACGAGGAAGAAAAGAGGCATTGAAAACCACAGCAAAAATATGTGGACAACGTTTTCAATCCGGAAAGCAAGGCCTAGAGACGCTGGGCAGCGCGGAGAATGAACAAAAACAAAGGAAGAAGAAAAACCGAAGGAAACGATCGCGACGTTGCTTTTGCGGCTGCAGCAGGCGACTCGCGGGCGACTCGGCCACGCTCAGTCCACTCGTCCCCAGCTCCAGATGTTCAACCCGACCTTAACGCCCTGGCGCACGCGCAGTCCGGCGTGCCACGTCTCTTCGTACGCTCGGCCTGTACCGTCGGGCCGGAAGTTCTCCCAGAATACAGCATTGCCGACCACCGGCAAAAAGACGACGCCTGTCGCGTTGTCCGTGCTGGTATGTTCGGCATCGTCTGAGTCTGCGTCATCCGCGCCGTGGCCTGTGTTGTCGGTATCGGTACCACGCCCGCGTCCACACCCAATATACGCGCACCACCGCCGGTCGGTGCTGCGCCGCGGTAGACGTGGAAACGCCGTCCCGCCGCCTTGCAGTGGAACCGCTTCACGGCCACCCACGCTGTCGTCCAGGCTCCCGTCGTCCACAAACACCATCAGGCTGGACACCCGGCCCCAGCCCCCCGTCGCCGCTCCTGATCGGCTCCAGTCGTAGTGGTAGCTGTAGTGCCCCGACGGCGCCTGGTACCGCTGCACGCGCAGCCGCTCGATCCACAGGTCGTCGCGCCAGCCCTGCAGGCGTCGTGCCCGTCCCTCGATGCAGCGCACCACGTCTGTGCGGGGCACGACGGCCACCTCCGAGTCGCGCACCGTGGCGTTGCGCTGGACGGTCCCGCCGCCGTCGTGCGTCACCGTCGACGCCTCATAGACGGGGGCGCTATGAATCAGTTAGCACACGCTTCTCCAAGGGTAAGTTGCATGGCAAGCTCTTCCGTCCCTCCCACTGTGCCTACCTGATCTCAATGAGGTGCCGCCGCTCGGCGAGCGACAGAAAGTTCTCGACGTACAGCACCAGCGGCGCCTTGCTGAAGATGTGCACCGTATAAGCGTCGTCAGGACATGTCAAGTCTTCCGTCTCCACAGAGTCGTCCTCCAGCGCCAACAGCGCTTCGTTGATCGGCGGCCGTGGCGTTTTGCGCAACACAGGCGCATCCAGCACCGAGGGGGCCACCACCCGCAGAATGGGGTCTAGCCAGAAAAGCACTGCCGCCAAGCAGACCAAGGCCGCATATCCAAACATTCCGGGGGGTTTGACGAAGCCAAAAATAAAACAAAACAAAACAAAAAATGGGCGTTTGTTTTGGCCTTCTCTTTCTGGCGACAAAGAGCAGAAGGCGGCTTATGGAAGAAACGGAAAGTGCTCTCCGGACGCCCCGTTAGGCGAATACGACGGTCCGTGTGCCTGCGCTTAGTTCTCACCAAAAAAACAGGGCGGATTCTGACGCGTTTTCGCGTTGTACTGGACTCGGCCATTATGATCCATTGGAATGCCCCGCGGCTGTCGACTATGGCACACGGCGTAAAAAAGCACATTCTCTCTATAAAAAGGGTCAATAAATGTGTCACGAGCGATGGTTACAAAAAAGTGCTTGGTATCTAAAAGTATTCATCTAATAGAGTCGTGTTGGGTCAATCGTTCCTTCCTCTGTGCCCGCAACCGCTTTCCATTCCTTTCGCTACTGATCGAGCCTTCTTCATCGGCCGCAAATGGCACGACGATGCTCTGTATCAGGTAGGAGCGAATGACTCGGCCTCGTAAGGGGCTCCCATCCCAAACGCAATATCGTAGCAATTCGTCTTGTCTTTACTCATCATCTCTCGCACATCATGACTGGTTGTCGATCGTGCTCCAGTCCGTGTTGTCAAAGTCGCCCGCCTGCAAAAACGTCGTCCATGGATCCGGACCCTCCAATTGGCCGCCAGTCCCTGTGTCACCCGACAGCAGAGCCTGGATCGTGGCCTCGTCCAGTCCGGCTGTGACGGTCTCGTTCAGTGGCGTGAAGCAAAGCGGGGGGTCCATCGACAGCGTCACGTCGTCACCCGGGTGTGCATGTTGTCCATCGCCGGACGCGCTCGACAGGCCCATGAACGCGGCCGTATCACCAAGGCCAGCGTTTCCGACAACGGACGGTGAGGTTCCGGTCCAAAGATCAGGCAGCGAAACGGTCGGGAAGAAGTCGTCGACCGCAGGGGCCAGCTGCTGCGGTTTTGGCAGAGACATGCTGCCCGGCAAGGATCCTACACCAGGTGGGACGGTGCCTGGCAGCGAAGATGTACCGAGCCGGGACAGGCTCCCCTGCGTCGACGCCGAGGGTCGCGAGCTGCTGCGGCCGCTGCTGCCGCTACTGTGGCCGGTGCTCGACGACGGAGGCCCTGCGTGCACGCTCGACCCGACGTCTTCGTCCGACGAGTCGTCGGACGGTGCGGGCGACACATTTGCTGCCCGGCGTGGCAGGACGACAAATGCACCGCCGTAGTGCGATCTGAAGACGTCGATGGGTGGCATCTCGGCCGCTTCGGGGGATTGCAGCCGTCGCCGCTTCTTTGTCAGGTCGCCGCCATTCATGTCGGTGGTTGTTGTTGTTGTTGTTGTTGTTGTTGTTGTTGTCATTGTCGTCGATGCATGCCGGCTCGCCTGGTCTGCCTCCATCTTCTTGCGGCACGAGTCGCATAGATTGGTGGAGCCGATGGGGCAGCACTGCTGCGACTTCATGATTTTGGTGTTGTGGGCGTTGATCAGCGGCAGCCGGCCGGCCATAGGCGGCTGCTGCCACGAGTGCCGCGACACGGCGGAGCGGGCCAGCACAGGCACATACTGGCCGTCATCGACAGTCCGGCTGCTGTACCGCGCGAACCAGGAAAAGTGCTTGGCCGTGGCCAGACCGTTGCGGTCAATGTCCATGATGGCCTGGTGCAGCAACAGGCGCGTGACCTTGTTGGCGCGTCCATTGTCCATGCAGCGCATAATGAACGCAATGTAGCCCGCCGTGGTTTCGGCCGCGTCTGTGTCCTGCGTCTGGTTCTTTTCATGCATCATTGCCTGGTAGACGAAAACCGACGTGGCGCAGTACAGCGACAAGGAGGCGAGGGGACTCTTCTAAACAGCACAAACAAAAGTATGAGTACGGAACACGCCCTAGTCTCTTTCTTTGGCATTCTAAAAGCCGCCAGCTGACTTACATAGCTACCCGCCATGTGGCTCGTTCTTTCGATAATGTTGACAATCTCCCGGGCAGCCGTCGACATGCGGTCATAGCAGCTCTGGACGACCGCCTCCGGCATGTTGTGGGCCTCGGCCCGTTCGACGGCCGCGTTGTGCAGGCAAATGATCGCGGCGTGCAAGTTCAAGTTGGTGTGCACAGCGACCGGGTCGTGGAAGTTGCTTGGCAGGCGGTAGCGCTCGGGCAGAAACACAAACGCCGACGACAGCTTCGTGTCGAGGCTGCGGTGGCGCTCCCAGAAGGGGCCGTACTCGAAATCCTCTGGTCGGTCGCTCGGCTTGAGCTGCACATGAAGCAGGATTGAGTTGAACAGATGGCACACAAGGATGGCGGTGGAAAATGTCGAGTACGTCGACCCTGAAAAGATGTTGTCGATCGTGCAAGACACTTGAGGGATGCCTTGCGCAAATGCCTCTTCGGAACTTGGCAGGTGTGTCGTTGCCTACACAACATGTGAGTTACAACGCCTGCGAGGAAATGGTGGAAGCGATCCTGGCAAAATCCACTTACATCGTTGGCATTGATCAGGGTAGGCCAACCGGTCGAGATGGAGGCATGGCTGTCGACACAGAAAGCTCCCCAGTACACGCGTCGTCGTTCCTCGAGCTCAGTCCAGTCCGCCGGAGGCTGCAGGGTGGACGCAATACGGTCTCCAGAGGTTTCGTCGTCGAGGCGGTTGAGGCCCATCATGCCGACGAGACGAACACAGCGCGAGCAGCTCATCGCCGCCCGCGTGAAGAAGAGGCGACGCGCTTCGTATGCGGCCAGAAGCGCCCATGCCTGCGCATGGCCAATGGTAATGAAATGCTCTCCATGGCCCTATTTGCCTGTCAGTACATGGCACCTATCGCGACAACTGACGTGACGTTTTGAGGTTCAGTGGGTGGATGGGGTTCCATTGTTACCTTCATCTCGTCGTTTTCGAGATACTGTCGGGCGCGACGATAGAAAGCATCGTGAAAGCCAGAATACTTGCGGTACACCTGCGAGGACATGGCCCAGATGGCGTACTGCAGGCCCATGGGCGGCCGCAGGTGCGGAGCCGAGTGGAACGCCTTGAGGTAGCGAGCCTTGTGCACAATGGGAATGAACATGTGCTGGTTCTGGAAGTAGGCTGTGTGTCTACCACCGCGGTTCGGATCAGCACAATGCACGTTGTGCAGAAGAAACCAACATACGACGAAGGAAACAACAAAGGCAGACTTACAGGACCTCAATGATCTCATACGGGGGCGGTGCTTCAGACATGCCGAGGTCCATGAGCTCCGTGGAGAAGGCACCCTCGCCAACAGGGACGCCGCCCGGACCCGGACCTCCATCATTGGGTCCGCGGCCCAGTTCAGTTTCAGTGATGACTGAGAAAAGACCGGTGCCGTTGCGGACTGCCGAACCACTGGCAGATTCAAAGTCGTGCTCGTCGGCAGCAGTCCTCTTGCGGTCGAGGCCAGGTGCCTCCTTCAACAAGCCTTCCACCTGGGCTGCGGGCGTGTCAGTGCGGAGCAAAACTCACAAGAGTGGCCAAATAGGGGTAGGAAGCAGAGAAGGGAGAAGAAGGAGGGAAGGTATCGAGACCGGACGAACATACCTAAACGAGCCTCAATGTCCTTGACATTACGGCGCTTGAACATGGGCTTGCGGCGCGACTCCGGGTACACACACACAGTGCCATCAGTGGCCTTGGTGCAGCGACTGCATGCAGGCTTCGTCCGATCGCACTTGAGCTTACGCGCGCGACAGGCGACACAGGCCAAGGGCTCCAGTGCCTGTTGGGGCTCGGGGGACTCGTCCCGCAGGTCGTCCTCCGAGGACGTGCTGTCGTTCGCGTCCATGGTGGCCAGTCGGTACCAAAAAAGGGAAAAGGGTACAAAGGGTACAAAGGGCACAAAGGGCACAAAGGGCACACCCCAACAGCTGGCTGCGTGTGGGCGTGCTGGGTTGTGAGTTGGCGTCTCGAGGGCGAATGGAGTAAGACTCGCCAATATCCAAAGGGCCTCGGACACGCTCGGAATGCCGAAGAGGGGTGAACGGCTGCGAGTATGTGTCTGGCCGGAGCGAGATGTCGAAAGTGGGAATGAAGAAGGCCCCTCCTCTTCGTTGGGATGCGAACGAAGGTCCGGGGAGTTCTTTAAAAGGCAAGAAAGGTGCAACGCATTTGCAGATTGTCGTCGTTTCGCTTCTTTCTCCTTTCCTTTTTATTCTTTCGCCGTCGTTTGTTCAGAGTCCTGGTCGTCTCTAGACAGTGCTTTCTCGGGATCTGCCCCTGCAGCCTTGTCGTATCAAGCTTATGAGAGTGAGCCTTGCTTTTCTTTGACAGTCGCCTGGGTGAGTTTTCCTCTTCACATTTGTTATGCCCCTTGGCTACCGTGCCTTTTTATTTTCGAGACAAGAAGAACAAGCGACACTGAATGCTGTCAAAAACCATTTGCTGACGGCCCTCTCTCACACCAGGAAAGAAAGGAGACACATTTTGAAATTCAAGGTTTGTCATTTTTCTCGCGTCACAAAACACGCTGTAGAATCCTTTGCTCTCACCGTACTGGCGATCGCAAGCCCGCAACTCCGGCGATCGCTGAGCCAGTCAGTCGCCAGCCAATGCTCACTTCAAATTCGGTATTTGGGCGAACCCCACTCTTTTCTACACAAGTGAATAGCCCCTGTCGTCTCGGACTTCTTTGTCGGCGGGATTTTCGTCCGAAGACCGACTAAAACTTACGTTGAACTGACTCGTGGGCCGACATGTTTTTCGGCTGTGGCGGAGAACCCTCCACCATCCCGGCAGCGGCAAGCCGCAACGCATCAAAGGCTCAACCACGGCCCGCCGGAATGCCCAGAATCGGCCAACCCGCCCCGGGTCCCGTCGGATTAAGACGCGTAAAAGACGTCTACGTCCGAGATCTCGTATATGTCATGCTTCCCCTGCACCGTCGATTTAAGCTTCTGTCATAAGCGAAAAATTGCCTGGCAAGGCTTAGCTGGGGTGTCAGATGCCCCGGAAAAAGTTAAAACGGGCTGCGTTGGCAAATTGGCCAGCGAGGCGAGCAACCAATCCAGCCCTGGGTCGTGAGGCTCAAGGCGCAGATCGACGCCATTTCATGACAAATTTCGCGTGCACAGAATACGGAGGATATAAGACGTGCAGGACGCGATTAATCATGCGCCGAAAATAGGACACATGTCGTGTTGATTGGAAGAAGCGCCGTAACGACGTCCCTGATTTGACCCCGTTGGTGGAGGTCGTCTGTAACGTCTCATGCGACATATTAGTCGTAAAAAAAAAAAATACAACAACCAGATACCCAATTCCCAATGTAAGCCCGTTGTTTGAGACCGTAATCCCGATGGCTCTCATCTAAAGTCCCAGTCGCTATCCCAATGCAAAGAAATAACCAAAAAGAATCCCAACAATCCCAGCGCCTCTAAATTTTTTTGAAACCAGCCGACAAAGGGTAGTTAAAACATAATAGAGCAAGAACCAAAAAAGGAAGTAAACAAAGGAAAAGGGCTCAGCCCTGGATCGCAGTGGCCATCCAACCAAGCTCGTCAACCAGGTCGTCCAGCCCGCTGCTGGAGCCGGCGCCGATGAGGCCATGGCCGGGAACCAAGGTCGCCGTGCTGCCGGTCAAAGCGGCGGCCACCAGGTGGTGGCGGTGGTGATACTGATCATGGTGGTGGTGCTGCGACTCGGACGCAGCGGCCTTGCTTCTCTCGCCCTGGAATGGAAGCTCAAGCGGAGGAAGGAACAGGGCATCCGGACCTCTTGCCGATGGCGCTGAAGATGCAGCATCAACCCCGTCGCTGTCGTCCTCGTGTGACTGGAACGATGCGGCGCCCATCGACGACGTGGACATGGACATGGACATGGGCGAGAGCGACATGGGCGACGGCGGTGCCAACATGGGCGGGAATTCTAGATCGAGATTGAGCTGCGGAAGGTCGAGCGTCTCCAACAGCATGGTGTCTTCGACGGTGGGTGGTTCGGCGGCGACCTCTTCAGCGGTCTCAACGGGAAGCCCAGAGGCGCCCACAGCAGCTGCAGCAGCCAGCTCTGCCATCGGCTTCGGGATGGCCGGTGGCGCCCGTGTGGGCGCTTCAGGAAGAGGCCGAGCAGCCACAACATCGACCACCTTCTCCTTTTCCTGTGTCTTTGGCGTAATGATGCGTGACGGCGGCGGTGATAGGATGGTCATCGGCGCGGTCTCCGACGTGGTCGATGTGGCAAAGTTGTGCTCATCGTCGTCGATTAAGTCATCAAAATCTTGAGTGTTGTCATCATCCTTGTCGTCGTCCTTGCCATCGTCCTCGTCCTCGTCGTCCGTTTCCGACAGGAAAAATGACGAGCCTTGGCCGGCCATATTCGTATCCACAGCTACGGCAGGCACAGTCGAAGTGTTGTCGCCAGTCAGGCTCTCGAGAGGTGCGTCGTCGACAAGGAAGCACCGCAGAGACTCGGGCGAGATATCCCGAGACCGGCTGCCCTGTGATGCAGATGGTGGGTAGTATGCTTTAGGCGCTAGAGCACCGTGGCGCAGGCGCGAGACAGATGTGATGGATGATGCTGACGAGGAAGAGGCGAGTCTCGACGAGAGGACAGGTCGGTGCAGGTGGGTATCGTTCTCGCTACCGAAAGATGAGGGGACAAAAGGAGGACCCTCCTTCTCCTCCTCCTCCACTTCTTGCTCATCGGCCGTCTTCACCTCCCGGCTGGGACTGGTGCGGCGGACAAACAGCCGCCGTGGGGACCACATAGAGAGTGATGCAGATGGCGACAGAGAACGAACCGAGCGCTGGTGGCGAAGAAGATATCTTGACGAAGGCAGTGGAGATTCTGGGCGTATGTTGTTGCCACCAGATGACACCACCTGCATCCGCTCGTTGGGAATGGCCATGGCGGAGGCTGGGGGCGGCAATGTGTTGACGACGGACGGCGTGGCAGGCGGCGGCCGGGGCGTCACAAACTTGTCGGCTGGGTTCATGGTCTGGAAGTTGCTCTGGTGTAGGGAGTTGACAGAAGCACTCCGCTGGCGGGAAGACTGCTCGATGGGAACCCAGAGGGTGTTGACACGTTGACCAGGTAGGTACGGGCAGGCGGTGGTGGATGGGACGGCCGGATCGTGAGATTCGATGGAACCGTCGACCTCGTACTTGGTGATGTTAGTTGTTGAAGAGAGAGAGAGAGTGAGCGAGAGAAAGGTAGAGAGGGGGCCAGAGGAAGGGAAGGGGGAGGAGGTAAATTATAAAATAACAAACGATGAGGATATAAGATGCGGACTAAGAAAGGGAACTAAGGGAAATTATTAAGAAAGACGTAGGGAAATAATAAGACTTACATAGTAATAATAGGTCTGCCCCATTTTCAGCCCGCCAGAACGGGGTACGTTGTTGGAAGGGGCGTCGCCGTCGCAGATAATATTGGAAAAGGTGTGGCAGCCTCGCCATTGGCCACGTTCCCGACGGCTGTCACGGTCCATAGCGTAAGTCATGCTGAAGTTGTCCCACGACCCAAGTAGGCGGACAATGTTGACGGAAGGATCGGTTCGTCTGGAAAGCGAGAACGAAAGTGACGAGAAGCTGGTCAGTACTCCATTTTTATCCAAAAACGAAGAAGGGTAATGGAAGACGGTAGAAGGACGACGGAAAGGTCGGCAAGGATGAAGACGATGACGAGAAAGCAGACAAGGAAAACGAAGCCGAAAGGGGAAAGAGGAAAGTGTGAATACAGCAAGGTGAGACTAAGAAGAACATGTGGAAGAATGATGTCGACGAGCTGGGTGAGATAAGGATGCGTAGTCCAGTCGAAAGAGGAAATGATGAGCAGCTGAGCAACAAACAAGGCCCATGAGGCTGAAGAAGCAAAGAATGAGAGTGAAAAAAAAAAAGCGAAGAAAAAAGAACGAGCTTGCAATGGGAGACTGACACGGCCCAAAACGAAACCCGACGGAAGCACAACCTCATCACTGGCGCTGATGTCTCGCCGGAGACCAAGCCGTATATGGGATGCCGTATTGATGGAGTGTGGCAGATCACTTGTTAGAGGATGACAACAAAGCATCCAAGGACGGGCACAAGCCTCAACCAAGACCGAGGATGAAACAAGAGCCACTTTGCCCGTTTGTATCCCTGATTGCCTTTCATCTGCCCTATGTCCTCAGCCTATTTTTAAATGACAAAGCTTGGACAATTGGCCTATCAAGCGTCGCAGCTGCAAGGGCCTGAAAGGAAGATGAAGCAGGGGTCTGCAGGGGTCTGATTGGGCCAGTGTTAGGCAATGGGCAATTGGGGCAATAAGTGAATACGATTGGGGGAACCATTGGGTGCAGATGTGCAAAAGTGGAGGTTTAGGGCTGACGGGGACGCCGGACGGAATGAAGCAGCTCGCTCTCTCGTTCGCGCCCTGAACGCCTTGGACACGTCAACACGAACACTTGTCTGCGTTGCTGTGTCGTTTGTTGCCAGGGGTCTGTTGTCATTTCGGGATAAGCGAAGCATGGCCGGTATTTCTAGTAGATGACACTCCGTGGATAGAGATGTCTTGCTTCAGAGGGCCCATGGCCCTCCGTCTCTGATTTTCAAGCACAGACGTTTTGTGCAGCAAATGGGGTTTGTCGGGGATGTCGAATGGTGTTGCTGCGTCCAATAGTTGACTGACAGGCTGAAAAGATGCAGAAAAAAAAGAAACGTGGTAACATACGACAAAGTGACCTCGCAGTGCGATCAACGTAATTACCGAAACCGGGGAGAAAGGGAACGAAAGGCTCGCGTAAAAAATAGAAAACCGAAAGACAAGAAAAGCCTGGGAAGCACCAAAGCTGCTGAAAAGGAAAGATGAGGTTGCAGGAGGAAAAATATGCAATTCGGACTACCAGGGCGAGAATAGTCGATTGCGTCGATGTCGTCCGAAAAGGGAAATGGAAAGCAACAGCACGAAAGCAATCGAAAGCTGAAAGGCCGGAAAGGTGGAGGCAATAGGAAAACAAATAAAATCAGCAGGCATTGGGCAACCAGGCGCAAGCTGAATATATAACCAAGAAAGCGGGAGATGAAAATCAAAAGAGAGGATCAAGATAAACCAGGCAAGATGAAGAGAATGAAATTAAGCAATAGAAATGAAAGACAGAGGCGAAAGAAACTTGACCAAGGAAAAGAAAAAGAAGCCACGGAGTATATCCCAGATATAAAAACAAAAAAAGGAAAGAAAATGGATGAATACGAAAGAAAGGAAGCAACACTCACAGGAAAAAAGTGTACAACGTCGTGGTCGGGTCCATGGCATATAAGAATGCTTTGGAGCCGCTGACGCTTTCCACATCCTTGGTATTCATGGCGTCTCTGGTCTCCAACGCTCTTGTATTGCTCAGGATTGACAAGATTGCGTTGTCGCAAAGTTCCTAGGGTTGATGCCAAAAATGTCGACTTAAGCGCCAGGCGCTTGGGGCCTGTTCCGCCCAGAGTGGAGATCCGATGCAACTGGTCGAAGGGAAAGGATCCGCGCAATAGGCGACGAAGAGGCGATAGGTCGAGGTAGAAAAAGGTCGCAAAAGGGACAATCAAACAGACACAACAGGAAACCCAAGAGATGAAAGGGGTTCGTGAGGACAAGAAAGAGGAGGAGGGCGGCGTCTAATTTTTCTGGGGGGCCTCAAAGAAGGGGGCCAGGCGCGGCTGGCTGCAGTCTCGATTTCTCGTACGTCTGTTTTGTGGAAGAGAAGGAATCACAGTAACAGGAGATATGGTGCAAAGTGCCAGGCCCGGACGAATCGGACGATGAGAAGCGGCAAAGCGAAGCGGATGATGGCGGCAACAGACACAATGCGAGACGAGGGTTGAAGCGCCGAGGATGATATCGAGAAGTGAGATAATTGAATGGGAATTGTCGTTACTACTGTTGGCCTCCCAAAATTCGCAATCATGGTGTCGTGTGGAGCTTGACGCAGGTACAGGCGGTTCCCGAGACCATGGTCGTTCCTGGAGACGAGTTCGTGCGGTCGTGATAGATTGGTACGGATGTAGCTCTTGGTTGAATTGGCCAATGATGTTGCTGGTCCTGGTGTCGTTCTATTGACTGTTTCCCTTTCCACTACTTTGATTGTTTCATAAAACAGATGTGCGCCGCTCTCCAAATCCAAAAAGTTGCGAGCTGTCGATAGGTAGGGACGATGGATAACGAGGCAGCCAAATAAGGGAGATGATGTTGCGGGCGCTTAGAGAGACCGTACCGTTGCCAGGGAGGCATCAGGGGGTGCTGTGACAGGGCCGCTGGAAAAAAACTCAATAGTAAGTGTAAGAAGAGGAGAGAAAAACGAGTCGTGGTATCTCGATGACCCTGGACGGGAAAATATCCAAAAGATGTTGGAAGCGCAAAAACGAGAAAGATAGAAAACAAAAACCTGTGAGGAAGAAAAGGAGGGGGACCAGGAGGAATTTCAAATCGTTGAGTTGAGACGGACAGGGGGCGAAGGCTGTTCGAGGCTGCTGAACAAGGATAAGGTCATGACGAGGGCGCCAGAACGAAAAGTGGTCGATTTAATTAGTTCCTGTCCGGTCTCCAAATGAGATGCCTCAGCGGACTAAATGCCGCTTAGCTGGGCGACGGCTGTCTCGTCGGGGCACAAGATATCAAGTTGGGAAAGAAAGGAAGAGAATGACTTGACGGGCCCACGACGATGAGATCCACGACATAACACGACATGCCACAACATAAAGCATCTCTCGCCGCCCAGTAGCATTCACTCACGGACTGGTAGTTGCTGTGCCATGACGCCTGGTGTCGGTCAGTTGTCTCTCCCTGTTCCACAAAAGGGACAGGCGAGACACCATGCGTTATTCTGCAGCAGCCTAGCTCTTTTGCGCACTGTTCTCCATTTCTTTTCTTTCTCGTCCACAGATCTTGTGTGGGATGACCACATGGGGTGTCCTGGCACAGTGATATACAAAGACCCGGTTTTACTACTTTCTTGCCGATCGTTCAGCTCGCTTGGACATCTCGGCAGGAGCCCACTCTATTCTCATTGTTCTTCCCCGAGTCTTAGCTGGAATCCGGACCAGTGTGAAATAAACAAGGCTATGAAAGGAGCCTGCTGAGTACGGCCGTGGATTTGTACCCAAGCTTCGGTGTTGCGGCTGCTTGTCGGCTTGTTCGTCCTGACGCGTTGCCAGCATTGGTTCTCCTTTTCAGAGTGGCTTTTGTGTTGAAACTGTCAAGGTTAGCGACGTAAAAAACACAAAGGAGAACACAAAGCGATAGCCAATGAGTCTCTTGAGACCGGCAATGAAAGGGGAAGGGGATGTATGAGGACCAGTCAGGGCCCTGGACGGAACCACTGACAAAGTAGCTGACAGGGGTAGCCGGTCTTGGCGTGCAGCTTTACTCACGGACGGCGATGCAATGTACGATTTATTTGCAGGGCCCTCAACTCTGCATCAGGTCTGTAGTGCAAAATAATTGCACAGTACCTTTTGCAAAGCGGTGTTGTTGTGCCTGTCACACAGGATGTAGCATCGCCAACAGCGGATTTGGGCCCGGCGAATGACTCTATTGGCTCTCGGCAACCGTCTGCTGTGACGACAATGCCGGCTAGGGAGGATGGGGAAGTAGAGGTGGATGTTTGAGCATTGAAGCAAAAGGTTGTGTTTGGTGTCGCTGCATTTTGCGAGAGAAACCAAGAAGCAAGCCATCGTTTTGGAAACGACGCAGGAAATTGTTCCTCAACGTGTCGCAAAACTCCCGTCTTCCAGTCGTTCCTTCCCTTGCTCCTGTCTGCGCTTTTGCAGCTTGCTTCTCGTCATATTGTCCCCTATTCACTGTTCATCGTTCTTTCCCTTTCTCATCCCCAGTCAATCTTAAGCCCTGTTCGGCATAGCGGCGACTCCTGCCTTTTAGACTGCAGGCGCTTTGCCCCAATAGCTCCAGGGGGAAGGAGAGCGGGTGGTCAGGCAATGTTCAACGCAACGCTAACGCACAATTGTCTGCAGGAACGATCGAGCCCGCTCCAAAAGGCACAACTTTCTATTTCGGAAAGAGACAACCGTGTCGTGGGGTAGGGAAAGTGCAAGGCGACAAAACTCAGCCTCAACAAGGTCGCGAGATGCATCTTCCTTGCCATTATCGTATGTCGTACATATAAAAACAGTTGACTGTGGCAACCAGCACCTGTAACCTCTGATTACGACTAGGCCGATGCATTACGGACTCCTCCACAAATCTTTCTCAGTCTCGCAGCTCATAGCTTATCAATAATGAAGGCAAAGACAAGACCCTCAACGGCTCACGCCACCTCTCCACGTCTGTAACTTGCGTTTTACAGCGCCCGATATTAAATTGTATGAAAAACCACCCGGGTCGAGTGGACGGCTCGTCCTTCGTAGCACACCGTACGGTGTAGCTTTGCAGGCTGTACAAGGACATGTCTGTTGCTGGCAGGGTAAAGACACGGGGGTATATGCGATCCCGTCGTACTGTAACAGCCCATGTCATTAAACGGCTCAAAATTGGTTGTTCGAGAATAAGTGCGAACAGAGGCGACGTCAAATAACGGGACAGCACGGGAAGGCGAGGCTATTTTCACTAGTACGGACGAAACGTTGCTGTCCCTTCTACCTTCTACATGTTTTGAGTATATGTGTTTTGTCGGTTTGGGGGGGCAGGTAATAATTCACTTTGTCTTGACTTTAGCCCTTCTTGGGCTATATTCACTCGTCTTCATTATATATTCACGTATATACAAGTCTCATTTAAAGAGAATAAAACTAAGAATTTCCCTAATGTATACGACATATATAAACTCAAAATAAGTGCTCAAATCATGACAGGGTCTGAGCCGTCCGAAACTGCGTTCTATTAAAACCGACTGGTTTCTCGGTGAATCGTCTACTCTGAGACCGTTGCACGTAACCACGCTCCCTAGCACTTCGGATAGCACTGCATTTGGTCTTCACGTTTTATTCACTGCAGAGGTACCGTATTTGACGTGGACATCATATTAGTGTGTGGGTTGTTCGTGTATGCTCATTCTTATGTGTTCCAAGTACAAAACAGGGAGGAAAAGAAGGCAGGCAAATTGAAAAAAGGCCCAGCATCCAGAATATAACAGACGAAGGTCACAAAGACCAGGCAGAGACCAGAAGTAAAAATAAGACACAAGAAAGAAAAAATAAGAAGAAAGAAGAGGAGTAGAAACGACGACATTAATACTCTTTATCATGGACTGTCAAAACGATCCATGCCCGCCCAGTTCACTCGTAGACGGCAATATATAAAGAACAAAAGAGAAGAAAAGCAAACGACAGAAAATAGGTCAAACGCCTGCCCGATGCCCAGGATAACAAAACAAGAATAACAAAATAAGGTAAAGACGTAAAGAAGTATAAAAGTTTAAAAAAAGTAAGTCTGGGCAGAGAAGGCATACTAGGGCCTTGCTTGCCTCGGATTGTCCTCCGATAACACAATTATTCCTGAAAAGAAAGAAACAAAAAGGCGTACCGTGAAAGGAGAGGCTTCAAGCGGCCGAGAGAGAAAAGGAGAAGGGGAAAAAGCTAGGTACATGTGAAGCGAATGTTAAGATGGAATGTTGCTACAAAATCATCATTAAAAGGGGTGTATAGAGGAATCAAGAAGAGAGGAAGAGAAAATAAAATAAAAATTAATGAGAGGGTCGAGAGGCAATGGGGCCCTCTCCGCGCAGCATTGCTGTAAGCTTGGACTCATGGGCTGGCTTGGACTCATTTTTGTCCGCTCACCTAAGCCTTGGCCGTCTTGGCTTTGGGCTTGGGCGACTTCTTTGCTGAGCGGGCCGACCTGCGCGGCTTTGACGCCTTTTCGCTCGCCGTCGTCGACTCCGAGTCGTCCTCGATTGTTGGTGTGGACAGTCTCGCCGGTGTCGATGGCTTGGTGTTAGCACGGCCATTGGCGCTGCCATTGGCGCTGCCATTAGCATTGCCGTTGGCAGCGGCGGCTGCCTTGCGTGCAGCGGTGTTACGGTCGCGCGCGTACTTGAGCGAGGTATCGCCCTGCCACATCGTGCCCAGGAGGCGGTCCCAAAAGGTGAAGAAGGGCTGGGAGAAGTTGGACTTGATGCCCCAGCTCTGGTGGTGGATGTCGTGGTAGGCCGCGTTGTTGCTCGTGATGTGCTGCAGGGGGTCCCACGGCAAGGCGTAGCCGCAGTGGTCGTCGACGGTTTTGATGGTGCTGAAGACGAAAAAGTACAGGCCCATGCGGGGGGTCATGAACGACACCTTGTAGGCCAAGCCGGCGCCGGCGGTGTCCAGCACAAAGCCCTCGACCGGGTGGTTGTACAGCGCGCCGTAGGCGTACGGCACGTACAGGCGGTGGTGGCGCGAGTGCCAGTGGACGTACATCCAGCGGTTGACGTGCATGGCGCGGTGCCAGAAGTACTGCCAGGCATCCATGAAGATGACGCCGAACCAGAACTGGAACAGCGGAACGACAACCCAGTAGATGGTCTTGGCCAGCATGAGCTCCCAAGACGCAAAAGCGGGCACCGCAGCGGCGGCCGACCCGCTGCCGCTGCCGCTGCCGCTGCCGGACAGCGCGGTCGTCAGGAACGGGTACTGGCCACCGGCGAGCGCGCCGGCCAGCAGCGGGTGCGACGCAGACATGTTCTTTGCAAGGGCGGCCGCATTGAGACCAACAAGGCCGAGCACGGTCGGCAGTGCGCGCTGGGCCAGGCGGATGCGCTGGGCCCAAACGGCGACGTCATAGTCCTCCATGCCCGTCATCTGCACGGGTTCGGTGTAGGATAAGAAGGCGGATGTAATCATTTGGATGATTTGCTCAATGACGACATCGCGGGCGACCTCGCTGCGCGACGCGTGGTTGCGCGCGGAGATCTCCTCGGGAGTGTGTAGGCGGTATGCGGGGAAGAGATCGAGAGTATCGATGACGTGGAAGACGCCCGACACAACCCAGTATGCGATGTGCGGCATGACGAGGGAGAGGGTAAAGTCGGAGACGAATGGCAGTAGGCGCGGCATCGGCTCCAGAGTATAGGCCGGCAGCGGCGGCAGGTCGCCGGAGAACGTGGCATTGGCCATGGCGTCGACGGAGACCATGCAGAGAGAGGGGGAAGCCAATTTCCACGTGTCGAAAGGAAGAGGCGGTCGGAAAGATCGAAAAGGAGGTGAGTCTGGGTTGAAACGTCGCAAAGCGCCGCGTCGAGAATGAAAGGCGTCGAAGCAAGCTGTATTGAACGTACGGCCGATATGTCGAGAAGCAATAAAAGAGAATGAAGAAAAGCAAAGTTGGAGAGGTTAGATGCAAAAGGAAAAAGGCACAGCCGGAACAGGAGAGGACGGATGAGGCTCGTTCGGTAGTGGAGCAGGCGTCGACCGTTAATTAAAAGAAGTGAAGATTTGTCGTGCGACTGTGGGCGCGTGAGTGGTAAGAGGGTGTGGGCGAGGGACAACGTATGGCGTTGGATTGAAAGTGCAGCCGGCGGCAGATGCGAAAGGAGTGACGTGGGAGCGAGGGGGGACGCAAAGCGATGGCCGGGGAGGACAGCGTGGGAGGAGGAAGACGAAGGAAGAAAAGGACGACAAAAGAAGGTTAAGTCGAGGATGTGAAAATGCTCGGTGCAATGGCAGGCAATACAGGCAGGAGCGGAAACGACGCTGAGAAAAGAAAGAGTTCAAAGACGATCATGTCAGGGCAGGAACTAGGTTGGCGCTGTAGCATGGCAGTTTTTGAGGGTCCTAGCAGCTGTTTTAGGGGGCAATTTCGCTTGGCCAGCGGCCGCTCCGCGGATGCCGAACACTAGCAGACTTTTTTGCAGAGGGCAACAGGGCAGGAGGCGCCTTGTAATTACTGTGTAAGTGCCTCTAGTTCTTCATTTTATTTGCCCCTGTTCTCTCGACACCATTTTTTGCCCTTCTCCGCCGCTGACATCCGCTCTCTACAATCTGATTACGGAGTCGAACGTCCGATTGGGCCTCTGTGACCGACTATCAGGATTCTCGACCTTCCACGCCACTCCGGCTCATTTGCCTGCTGTGGTCATCTAGCCGCTTCTTTTCTGTCTTGTTCTCCGGCCATTGGCACGCGTGCTGCCTGCAATTGGTTGCTCTCCCTTGCATCTCGTTCTGCCCGTTTCATTCGATTCGCGACTCCTTCAGTTGACGCGTCTGACGCCAGGGTCTGCCTCCTATTCCTCACCCCTGCAGCCTCGGAGCAAGCGCGTCGGCCGATCGGTGTTGTTGAGTAGCAAATTTTAGTAGCGTGACGTGTCACGTGAGTACGTATGATGGATCAGGCCGGAGTCGTACCTCTCTGCCTCAGGCAACATCCCACGCTCACAGTACCTGAGACGGCATACGCATTTGATTGGCTGTCTGGTCGAGAACTGAATGCGCTAGGCCCGTAATCTGGTTAGCGCCTTGAGTTTTGGTTGTCCCAGCGAAGCATGGGAATGGTCTTGTACTCTGCACGCAATTTTCTGTGAGCAGTGACCTACCCCGCCAAAAGTATAGATACATTTTTCTTTATTTTTTTTGCCCCTCTCTTTTTTCGAGGAAGGAGGAGGAGAGAGGAGAGGAAAAATCAATATATTCGTAGACGACGTCTTTTTTCTTCCCCTTCTTCGATCCCTACGAGACCACCCTTCGCTTCCCCCATCTCGACAACCGCCCTTACAACCCTCCCTTTGCACGGTTCACCCTCACACACCACCGTCAAGATGCTTATCTACTCGGTAAGAACGAGACCGTGCGACCCCCAGTGGCATTTTTTGGTGGAATTTATTCGATTGAGCAATTTGGCCAGCGCCGATATTTTTGCCTTTAGACAGAATATCTTGTCTTTATTTGACCGCAGCTTGACGCCATGCTAACAGGTCTCTCTCGTCTAGGATATCCTCACCGGCGACGAGATCATCTCGGACTCGTACGACCTCAAGGATGTTAACGGCATCGTTTTCGAGGCCGACTGCGCCATGATCACCGAGGAGGCCGTCTCGGTCGGTACGTAATCATATGCCATTCCCTTTTGCCATGGCTACGGCTTTTGCTTTTGCTGTTCGTATATCGTGTTCCTTTCGAGCGCCTCGCACCGCTGACCTTGTCCCCTGCCCACAGACACTGGTGCCAACGCTTCCGCTGAGGAGGCCGACGAGGGCGTCGAGGACACCGCTGTCCGTGTCAACAACATTATCCACTCGTTCCGTCTCCAGAACACCTCGTTCGACAAGAAGGGCTACCTGGCGTACCTGAAGGGCTACCTCAAGGCCGTCAAGGCCGCTCTCCAGGAGGCTGGCAAGTCCGAGGAGGAGATCAAGACCTTTGAGACGGGCGCCCAGAAGTTTGTCAAGGAGACCCTGCTGCCCAACTTCAAGGACTACGAGTTTTACACGGGCGAGTCAATGAACCCCGACGGCCTGTATGTTCATTAAATACCTCTTTTTTCTTTATTTTTTTCTCTCCTTTTCTGGGACTGTTTTCTAACTTCACAGGGTCGTTCTCCTCAATTACCGCGAGGACGGCACCACGCCGTATATCACCGTCTGGCAGCACGGCCTGAAGTCCATCAAGGTGTAAATTTTGCTGTCCTTTTTTGCATCTTTTGGAGCGAGGCTCGGTGCCGGGGAGTGTCTCTGCCGTTACGGAAGGATACGATGTTTGGTGCCATGGATTGCCCAGACCGCCGAACATGCAGTCGTAACATCGGGCGCACTCTGGCCGGACGGATTTTCTATACCTTTTCTCCACCTTTCACTTTTTGGGGGTGGATTGCTGGTCACCTTGTTGCACATTTTAGCAAAAGACAATGATCACGCCTTCCTTTTAAGTGAAAAGAAATGGATATCAAAAGTCGGCAATTTAACTTGGCAATTTAATGTTTCCCAGACTCCCCCACATGACGTACTTGTGCATTGACCGATGCGAATGAACAAACAAAAATGCAAATTTAGCACAGACCAGTAACCTTGCAAGCGCCCTAGACTTTTACAGCGTTTCAAATCATGCCTCTTAACAATGCCCGCGCCCCTTTCACCACAAACTCCTGCTTGGCTGGACAAAAACAGTATCCCTCACCACCCTTGCGGCCGTGTTGCCATTGGAATCGGCGGCGGCGCGTCATCCTCGTCGTCTGTCTTGTGCCCGCTGCCACCCCGGGTTGTGTTTGGTTTTACGGCTGCCAACCCAGGTTTCTTCGCTGGCGGCGGCGGCGGCGGTTTCTTTTTCCCGGCAGCCAGACCTGCAACTGCGCCCGTAGACAGAGACGGCGTAGACGACCCAGACACTGCCGCAGACGAGCGAGCATTGGCATTGGCTCCGCCAAGGCGAGCCGGTGATCGTGATGGTGTACGGCTGGCTGCACCCACGCCGCCCCCGGTCCCCATTTTGGCAAACCGAGCCTGCAGTTCACCCAGCTGCGACGCTGGCGGCGCATGGTTCACCGTCTGCGCTGGCTCGTGTGAGGACGAGGACGTTGCTGCTAGCGCATTGATCGCCGAGAGGGCCGTCGGCTGCTGGGCATCGCCGCTGCCTGCACCGCCCCCAATGCCGAGGCCGGGCACAGAGATGCCTGCGCGGCCCAGCCGGTTCACGGCATCCTGGTTGATGTACGTGTCGCTGCCGGAGTTGCCTGTGCCGGAAGGAGAGAGTCGTGCACTGGCCGGCGATCGTGACGGCGGAGGCGGGTGTGCTTTGGTGCTGCCAGCACCGCTAGGTGGATTCGGTGAGGGCGTCGAACGAGGCGGGAGACGGGGCGGCAGACCAGGCCGGATGGCTGCTGGTCGCTTGGTAGGACCCGACGGCGGCGCAGGCACGGGGCCGCGGCTGATGCCACCGCCGTCTCGGCGTGTGGGTGGTGGGGGCAGATGCGACGTGTCGAGGCCGGTCATGTCCATGCGATAGGGCTGTGGTCCCCGGGGCTCCTCGTCGTCTTCGGCCGCGGACGACGCTGCGCGCGACCGGGATGGCAGGGAAGGCGGACCTGATGCTGCTGCCGGTGCATGGGGTGAGCTGGAATGTGTGCTGGTGTGCGTGCTGACGGCCGTCCCGCTGGCGCTGGGCTCGCCTCCAAGGGCTACATGGCGTGGCGGAGGGCCAAAAGACGCTGGATCGCGGAGGCTCGACAGCGGCCGTGATGCGTGGTTCGCGCGCGCCTCGGACTGGTATTGGCTGTCGTCCTTCTTCCAGATGCCCGTCTGGTCTGTTAGTTTCTGCCATCTCGTATCAGTGCAGCATGTTCTGGCCCATTACACTCACCACCTGTTTCTTGAAATCGGCATTTTTATCCGGATGCCAGCCGTTTTTAAGGACGTTGGAAAAGCCCGACATAGTGGGTCAGGTGCTGTGCGGTTTGTATGCCCTCCGTTCCCAAGTGTGGACACGAAAATGTGCAAAAACGACACCGAAGGAGAGGTGGAGGCGAACGTGAGTCGACAGACGCAGAGCCGTATTTATCGTCTTCTTTGTTGTACGTTATTCGGCCGCCTATGAAGCGGTTTGGACTGCCACATTCGTGCATGCCTCGATAAAGAAAGAGCCAGGCTGAGCCGCAGACAGTGACGTATGCGCTAGAAAACGCCCACCATGGCGCTATTGCCGAATGAGGATATATGACTAATCTCTTATTGCAGTTGCCCATTGGCATGGGGGCTTGCGACAGGAAGGTGCGAATGTAAATCGTATGTCGGCGGCTGTTTAGCGCAACTGCCTCCTTCCCCCACCAACGGCCTCTGGCAGGCCCCCTCTAAATGCACCAGACGCGTCGCGTTACAGCGAAAGATACGAAGACCACATAGTAAATAGGTTTTTGCACGAGAATCAACTACAACGACATTAACGTCGGCCACAATTGACAGCCGCAACCACCCGCGAGCACACCGACTGCATTGGACGGCCCGTCCTTGCCGTTCAACAATCACCGCCATGGCCTCGTCGGCCACCGCAGACACGGAGCTGCTCACAGAGCACTTTGGCTATCCGCCGGTGGTAAGTCGCCTTTGAGACGATCTATTATCTCTTATTTATTGTTTGTCTCGCGTTGCATCTCGGCAGCCAGGCCTGACAGCATGTAGAGCTTGCTCGACGACATCATCAACAGCGTCAACATCCTCGCCGAGCGCGCGCTGAACAGCGTCGAACAGGCGCTCCTCCGCCAACCACCCGCCAGCCTCGGTTTCAAGCCGGCGGCCTTCCAGCGAGGACGCGGCGAGGCGAAACTGTCGCCGGACGCGCTCGAGGCCGCCGCCAAAGACGCCCACCGCCACGAGGTCGAGAACGGCACGCACCAGCTCGAGACGCTGCTGTGCGCCTCCATCGACCGCAACTTTGACAAGTTTGAGCTGTACACGATGCGCAACATTTTGTGCGTGAAGCCCGAGGACCGCGATTGGATGCGGCTGGCGCACTACGAGGGACTGGACTTTGCCACTGCTGCCGAGGGCGGCGCCGGGGACGGCGCCGCGGACGACGCGTCCATTGCACACCTGCACCGCCGGCTGCAGGCGTCCCTCAAACTGGGCCACCTGCTGCACGTTGAAGCCCAGCGCAACGAGACGATGCTGGCGCGGCTGCGGACGCTGGCGGGAACGGGGCGTGGACCTGCAGCAGACCAAGAGCAAGGGGCCGACCCGTCCTTGTCTGCATCATCTGCATCGTCTGGGGCGTCGCTGGCGTTCTTGCTCGACCGCGGCCCGCTGACCGAGAGCGACGCCGCCCAACCGCTCACAACCACCACGGCCTTTGCGCTGTCGCAGCTGCCGGCCCTGCGCAAGCTGTCGAGCGAGCTGCGGCAAAAGGCGCCAGGCCTCGCAGCAGCCGTGGCGCTCGACGACGAAGAGGAGAAGGCTGGTGGTGGTGGTGGTGGTGGTGGTGGTAGTAGTGGACGAGCCGGCGACAGCAAGTCCTGGCGGCGCGAGCGGCTCGAGTACATTGAAGGGTCCACCCGCAAGCATCTCGAGCGGATACGCGGCCTCAATCTCGGCCGCAACGGCGAGATGCGCAGCGAGCAGGGCAGCTCGTCCCAGGCCAACGACGGCGGACATGGCGGAAACAACATGACGGTCGAGCCCGAGGCCCTCACCAACATCCTCAACATTTTGCGGCAGAACCACGGCGGCAGAGAGGCAGAGGCTGCGACCGGCGATACGACACAGCCTGAAGACGATACAATGGACGAGTCATGAGGAATGCGACGGCGACAGCGGTTTGCTTTGCTTGTTTGGATAACGTTGTATGAATTGGATCTGGGTATGGGAACGGCACGTGGATTTTTGGCCTGCACTTGGGATTGGCGTTGCGGTGGCCATTTTTGGCAAAACGGATTGCGATTTTCTTCCATTGTCTCTTTAGTATGGTACAGGCAGCTGATTGTCCCAGCTGTCTATTCTGTATGTGCTGGATACAATGTATACACACAATGCTTTTGTTGTCATGGATGGCGTAACTGTCTTTATTTTATACACGCGCTCAATGTGTCTCTTCTACGATGGTCGTGTACACGACGGGCATGACACTAATCCTTCAACAGACCATGCTCGGCGGCCAGGTGCCAGAAGCGGTGCCGGAACTGCCGCGCGTCCACCAGCCGCGTCGTCTCGCCTCCAATGCCGCTCTGCACCCGCACCATCTTTTGCGCCTGCACCTTGGCCACCAGCTGGGACGCCGCCTCCCACTCGTTGTTGTGGACCAGCGCGCGCAGCAGGTCCTCGAGCGTCGACGACGTCACGGACACCGAGTCGGCAATGTGCGCAAAGTACTTGAGCGCGCTGGCCGTGTCGCCGACCTGCGAAAAGCCGCGCACGATGCGCTCCCAGAAGACGCGGTCAAACGTGGGCGGCGGTCGCGGCGTGTCAAGAGGATCGGGCGTGCTCTCGGACGGGCTCTCGGACGGGCTGGTCTGCCCCGTCTCGTACCGGGCAGGGCCGCCGGGCTGGCCGTGCTCGACCAGGTACCGCACGGCATCGAGGTCGGGCGGAGTGCGCATAAAGTAGTTCTCGGCCAGGATCGTGTAGATGTGGGACGACATGGGGATCCCGCGCTGGCGCATGCGCTGGAACACGACGGACACGGCCGCGTCGGCCTGGTCGTTGATGGCGTCGCCGCCCGTGCTGTGGCGGCCCTTCTCGCCGCCCTGCAGCAGCAGGTAGATAATCTTGGCGTAGTTTTGCTGGTTGGCGTCGAGGCCGGCCGCCTCCACGTCGGCGAGCACCTGCTTCACCAGCTCGGCCCGTTCGCGGGGACTGCGGCCTGCCATGGCGCCGCCGCCAATGGTGTCGTCGAGCAGGATCGTAATGGTGGCCTCGTCGGGACGGATGCCGCGCTGGCGCATCATCTCCAGCAGACCGGCGACCTCGTCGGCCGCGCCTTCGCGCACCAGCGGCCGCAGGATGGTGTTGAAGGTGATGACGTCCGGCTCGATGCCGTGGCGGCCTGCCCAGGCCAGGACCTTCTTGGCGGCGGCCAGGTCGCCGCGCCGCAGCATGCCGGCAATGGCGGCATTGACCGGCTCGATGGTCGGCTTGACGGCCTTGGAGAGTGGGCGTCCGTCCGTCTTGTCGCCACTGCCAGGCACGTGCTCTTCCCGGGACGCTTCCCACAGGCGCTGCATCTCGTCCAGCGCCTGCATGCCGGCCTCGGCGGCGCCCGACTGGATCAAGCCGGAGATGCGTGCCGTCCACACGGCCGTGTCGACTTGCATGCCCGAGGCCACAAGGCGGTCCCAGATGTTGTGGATACCGGCTGGGTTGTTGGCCCGCTTGAAGCCCTCGATAAAGGACGTCCATGTGCGCAGCGTGGGCTTGATGCCGGCCATGGCCATCAGATTCCAAACGGCAATGGCTCGGTCCGACATGCGCAGCGTCGTAAACACCATGATAAAGTAGTCGAGGAGGTCGCTGCTGCCGCGCAGCCGCGCGGGGCCCTCGACGTCCGGAACCGACACGGCCGACCAAAAGCGGTCCCACGCGGCCTCGCAGGCCGCGGTATTGCGCACACGCAGCGCCTGGTCCAGCTGCTGGTAGATGCTGTCGAGCGTGGCCCGCCGGGCGTCCCTGGAGCTCGTGGCGACGCGCGGCAGTGCATTCTGGGCATGTGCCTTGTTCGTCACGGTGGGAGAGCCGACGATTGGCCGCGAGAGGACGTAGGCGCCGAGTGCCGGGTGCTCCGTGTACATGGCGGGGATGATGCGACGCTTCAAGTTTGTCGTCGTCACAACCTTTTCGATTGCGTCGACAAACTCGTGCGCCCTGTCCTTGATCTCGGGCGTGCAGATGGCTGGGTCGGTGAGGATGGCATACGTGGCCAACACGGCTGGTGCCAGCTCGCGCAGTTGCTCCGGCGCGTAGCGGGGGAACAGCAGCGACAGACCCAGTTGGATGTTGCGCCGCCTGGCATACTTTTCGGCGCGGGCCGGGTCCGGCGACGCCATGCGGAACTCGGTGACTGGCATGTTCTGGAGCGCCTCCTCGTCCGTGACCACAATATCTGGCAGGTTGAACATGCGCCAGGCCTCGACGAGGTCTGCCAGCAGGGCCGTCCTCTTTTCGACGGCCGACGATGGGTCGCCGACGTTGCTTCCGCTGCTGCTATCGACGCCATTGCTACCCTCGCTTCCGCTGCTGCTGCTGCTGCTGCTGCTGCTGCTGCCACCGCCGGGATGAACAATCTCCGTCGCGGCCGTCAGCACAAGCGGCACCCATGCCTCCGGTTTGTTGAGCAGGTCGAGCTGCCGGCGGATCTGCGTGATGCGGGCCAAGCTCGGGAGATTCTCGGCGTAGGGGTCGGCCATCTTGGCGGTCGAAGCCTCACGCACGAGCTGGTGGGCCGTGTAGCGGAAGATGGCAGGCAGTCTGCGCGGCGATTCGGTCATGTGCGGATACATGTTTGTCTCGAAGTGGTGGAACAGCGTGGCGGTGGTTGCGTCTGTCTGCGACCGCAGCTGCGTCAGCTTCACCAGGTGCTTGTACAGGTCGACGCTCGCCGTTGCCGGTCGTCCTGCGCTCGGCTGCTCCTGATGCTGCTGTTGCTGTTGCTGTTTCTGTTGCTGTTGCTGCTGCTCCTGAAACTCGTCGATATGTGCCTTGCTGAGCTCCTGGGCCAGTTTGTCCAAGTCGCCCCCGTCCTGCACTGCATCCGCCACCGCCTCTGCAAGTCCCTCCTGTTCTCGTCTTGTCTGCTCGTGCTCGGACTCCTGCTGGTTCTCGATAATGTCCCGGAAGACGGCCAGTGCCGCATCGTTGGCCGGCGGCCGTTTTGTAATTCGTGACCGAGACGTGAGTCGAGCTGCTGTCGCCGCGGACCCTCCTGGCCTGCGAGAAATGTCGGCCCTCCGGTACACGGTCCGCGAGCCGTCATGGACCATAACTCCGTCCACCAGGGGGATCCTCGGGTGCGCCGTTGCTGTTGTCGTGTGCCATCGTCGCCGTGGTTGGCTGCTGAGAGCTTCTTGACGTGCCGCCGCCTGGACGGACTGCCGTGCTCGGCAGAGCATGCAGATGGCACGCGACTCCCTCATCGGTTCCGTCTGGCAGACCGTGCGTGGTCAAAAGAATGGGGGGATTGTCGATGCGGCGATGCGGTTGTGGTCCAAGGACAGATGCTGGGCTTTTGTTTTTTGCTTTGAGTCTCGCCTAGATGAAGCTTTTGGTGGAAAATAAAAACAAGTGGGGCTGTCCATTGCCTGGCAAAATTGTCCCCGAGGGCCCCTGTAAATTCAGAGCTACAGCGCTTGGCTGGCGTCAAGTACGCCCAAACGGGGCCGTCCGGCTATCGGCTTTCCTGCCTGTTTACCCACTAAAGCCGGCAAAGACAGGCGGCGAGGCACGGAAATACAGCGAATAGTGCGTCGTGACAGGCCCACGAGCAGTGCTGTCCAGCAATGGCAGGCGTAGACTAACAGTGTCCAACAAGCCCGCCTTCCTGTTTAGGACCCTCCGCCAGATACGACGTGCACAGGAAGGTGCTCTCGAGCCAAGGTCGAGTCATTTTCCACTTGAACACGATTCCAATTGCCATTGTCCTGTTTCCCTGTTTCCCCCCTGACGCCCCCTGGACAAAGGCCAGGCCGCACTCCTGCAGACATTCTCGCTTCTTGGACCTCGCCGCACGCCCTCGCAACCACCAGCATGACGTCCCTCGTACCGCGCACGCCGTACACAGACGAGGAGCTGCGCCGCCTCTACCCGGCCGGCCTCGAGCTGCAGCTGGTCCAAGTCCTGATGCGCCACGGCGAGCGCACGCCTGTCTCGCCGCGGTTCCAGAATGCGGGCCTGCACCCCTTCTGGCCCTACTGCTCGGCCGTCAAGCAGTTCCGCGCCGTCGTCCTCGAGGACGACCAGGACCCCGGCGTCGCCGGTGTCGGCGTGGGCGGCGGCGGCGCGGCCACAAAGCCATTGGGGACGCTCGCGTGGAGGCGGCGTCTCGAGACGTTTGGCGACAACGACACGGCCGTCCTGGCCGCGGGCAAGAAGGGCGAGCTGGACGCGCTCTGCGACATGGGCATGCTGACGGACCCGGGCCGTGCCACGACGCTGCGGCTGGGCCAGCGGCTGCGGCAGCTGTACGTCGAGCGTCTCGGCTACTTGCCCCGGCAGCTGGGCCCCGACGACCCCGACCGGCTGTTCTACTTGCGGGCTACGCCCATTCCGCGCGCGCTCGAGTCGATGCAGCAGGCGTTTACCGGCCTGTACCCCGACCGCGACCGCAGCACGACGCCCGTCACAATCGTCTCGCGCGCCCCGGCCGACGAGACCCTGTTCCCCAATGACAGCAACTGCCGGCGCTTTGCGGCCCTGTCGCGGGCGTTTGCGCAGCGCGCGGCCGAGCGGTGGAACGACTCCGACGAGCTGGCGTACGTCACCAAAAAGATTGGCCGCTGGATGGACCCCGACGCGCCGCGCGTGGCCGTGGACGGACGGCCACGACTCTCTGGCGTCATGGACACCATCAACGCGACGCTGGCGCACGGGCCCGAGACGCGCCTGCCCAAGGAATTCTACGACGAGCAGGTCCGGCGCAACATTGACAAGGTGGCGCTCGAGGAGTGGTTTGCCGGCTACCACGAGTCGCTCGAGTACCGCACACTCGGCATTGGCGGGCTCATGGGCGACCTGACGGACCGCATGGTGGCACAGGCCAAGTCCGCGGGCACCAGCGGCCAGAACGGCCTGTTCCGCTTCGGCCTCAGCGGCTGCCACGACACGACGCTGGCGGCCGTGTTGACCAGCCTGGGCCACACCATGCCCACATGGCCGCCGTTTACGAGCCACCTGGCCGTGGAGCTGTTCAAGAAACCAGCATCCGATGCCTCGCCGACCGCGACGCTCCCGCCGGCCCCGCCAGCCGCACCAGTAGCCACGGGCTGGTCTGCCTACTTGCCGTCGTTCCTGTCGCCGTCCAAGAAGGCTGCTGCCCCCGCGGACATTGGCCGGAAGCCGACGTCAGCATTGACCGACGTGGACAAGCACAAGATGGACGGCTACTACGTGCGCATCCGCTACAACGACGAGGTGGTGCCGATCCCGGGTTGCAAGCCGGCCGGCAAGCACTTGGACGGCGATGAGTCGTTTTGCACGCTGGTATGTCGCCCCCTAGTGAAGTCACACCGATTGAAAACGAAACGACAGAGAGGAAGACAAGACACAAAATACTAACAACTGACGCAGGAGGCCTTCAAGTCCATCGTGGACAAGTACACGCCGAAGAATTGGAAACACGAGTGCCGCAGCAACCTGAGCAAGCCCGCGTTCCCCGAGAAACCTGAACCCTCGGGCTTCTAATGCTGTCGATGATGGTGTCAGCAAACCCTTCCTATGGGCATACGAAACGAAACCGCGTTAATCCTATATATCCTATATACTCCGTACAGAATATACAATAAACGTTTAATAGATGTAACAAGCCACTAGCACGGAAATTCGCAAACTGCAATTACAAGCACCAGGAACTGGGTGTTGGTTGATTACTCATGTGTGAGCCAGCATACGGCGCGGCCGCACACAGCTTCCAAGTGAGGGGAAGCAGCTTGCACCCGGACATCACTGGTTGGGTCTGCTGCAGCTCTCGTATACTAGACAAGCTTTCAAGGCAGCATATCTCTTTGTTCAACACACACTGTAAATCAATTGCACGTCAACCATGACTTGACACTCATCATAATTCATCTACTGGGCCCATCCGTCACCTGCTTCGACTGTATTGATGCACACATCCTGCATCTCGCATCGCATCGCGTATCGCATCTCGTACATTTCGTACCCCACGCTGCTCAATCCTCGCCGCAGTCACCACAGCATGGCATCCGCCGTCCACTACGACGCCATCATCGTCGGCTCGGGCCAGTCGGGCACGCCGCTGGCCTCTGCCTTTGCCGCTGTCGGCCGCAAAACGGCCATTGTCGAGCGCAGCGCCATCGGCGGCACCTGCGTCAATGTGGGCTGCACGCCGACCAAGACGCTGGTCGCCTCGGGCCGCGTGGCGCACCTCGCTGGCCGCGCTGCCGACTACGGTGTCGGACCGAGAAACAAGACGCCCGCCGAACTGAGCGTCGACATGGTCAAAGTGCGCCAGCGCGGGCGCGACATTGTGGCCTCCTTCCGCGGCGGCAGCGAGGGGCGGCTGGAGCGTGCCGGCGTGGACGTGTACCGCGGGTCGGCGGCCTTTTCTGGGCCCAGGGCTCTGCAGATCACGCCCACGACCGCCGGCCCTCGTAAAACGATTGAAGGCGACCTCATTTTCCTCAACACGGGCGAGCGTCCGGCTCGGCCGGGATTGCCGGGGCTCGAATCCGTGCCGCCAGCGCGTGTGCTGGACTCCACGTCCATCATGCAGTTGGGCGCTGTGCCGGCGCACCTCCTCGTCGTGGGCGGCGGGTATGTTGGCATCGAGTTTGCGCAGCTCTTCCGCCGTCTCGGTGCCGAGGTCACCGTCGTCCAGCATGGGCCGCAGGTGCTGCCGCGCGAAGACAGCGATGTCGCCGAGGCATTGACGAAGATTCTGCAGGACGAGGGCATCACGGTCTTGCTGTCGGCCGATGTGACCACCGTGGCCGCTTCGGGTGGCGAGGACACCCAAGACGAGCGCCCAATTGCCGCCGAGATTGCTGTTGCCGGACCGGACCACGTGCAAGTCAGCAAGAAGGATGTCCGCGTGAGCCACATCCTCTTGGCAGCCGGGCGCAAGCCCAACACGGAGGACCTTCGCCTCGACGTGGCCGGCGTCAAGACGAACGCTCGGGGCCACATTGTGGTCGACGACAAGCTGGCCACCACCGCATCCGGCATCTACGCTCTGGGCGACGTGCACGGCGGACCGGCGTTCACGCACATGTCATACGATGACTACCGCATCCTGACAGCCAACCTGCTACCGCGCACCAGCAAGATCCCCGGGCGTGGCGACAAGGACCCCCTTCTCACGACGGCCTCGTCCAAGTCGCGCAACTATGTGCCGTACGTGGTGTACACAGACCCGCAGCTCGGCCACGTCGGCATCCACGAGCGTGATGTGACGGCTGCCAGCTTGAGCAGCAACGACTACAGCCATGTCAAGACGGTGTCGATGCCCATGGCGTACGTGGCGCGGGCTCTGGAGACAGACGAGACGGGCGGTCTGATGAAGGCGACGGTCAATGTGGAGACGGGCGAGATCCTGGGCTTCACGTGCTTGGGGATTGAGGGCGGCGAGGTCATGGCGATGGTGCAGACGGCGATGATGGGCGGGCTGCGCTGGTGGGATCTGGAGGAGGCTGTGTGGGCGCACCCGAGTCTGGCGGAGTCGCTGAACAACCTGTTTGGCCAGCTCAAATAGGGCAGGCAAAGGCAAAAGCGGCGTATTGCCGTGAGCCCAGTGCTTCAGTTGTGTTGTATCTCGCTCAAAGGCACTCCATAGTATGCGTATGTGATCAAACAGAAACGGTTGCCTCGGTTTTCGTCGCCGTCTCGGTGCTCTTGTCATCCCTCTGCTGCGAGACGACCGCCCGCGCCCTCTTCTTGCGCGCTCGCCGCACTTCGATCTCCACAGCGGCCATTTCGGCACTGAGTGCCGCCAGCCGTGGCACGATATTGTCAATGACCTCAATGGCCTCCTGCTGGGCCTGTCGTAAGGCCATGGGCGTCAAGACGCCAAACCACTGCAGCGGGTCTCGCGGGCCGGAAGGCTTCTTCGTTTGGTTGCTCTTCCTGGACATTGGCCTTGTCGTCGTGTTGTCTGCATCTTCTGCTTCATACTTCTTCTCATCGCTCTCCAGGTCAAGGCTTTCCTTGCTCTCCTTGTCGTCCGTGACGTCGGCCTTGACCCCCTTCCTGGGCCGCGCCACTGCAAACGACGCGGCCGCTGGCTCGGTGCCCTTGCTGTCTTCCGCAATGTTCAGCCGCACAAGGGCTTGCATCCGCCCATCAAAGTGGTCTGGGCCGTAGCGGAATCCGCGCTCGGCGGCAAAGTTGGCGCGGGCCAAGTTGCCAAACATGCTGGCCTGGTGGGTGGACAGCTGGCCGCGCAGCTCCGTGTACTCGTGGAGCAGGCCCAGGTACCGGGCCAGCAGCCCGTCAATGGATTCGGATGTCATTCTTCCGTGCTGTGATTTCTGGTCCCTGAAGGTGCTGGAAATGTTTGCTGTTTGTTGACAACGTCCTCGTATGTTGATTTTGCTGCCGTTGTGGGAAAGTGCAGCCTGGCTTTGGATGCACGTGATGATAAGACGGGGACCTCTTATCGCTCCGTCGTTGACTTGCGGAAACAGGGCGCTAGTCTAGAAAGAGGAAGGACCCACCCCGAATTTTTCCTCGCATAAATATCGAGCCGCCAAATCATTTTCGAGACTTCGCTTCCTCTTCTTTTTTCTTTTCTCGAGCAAGGGACGAAATCTACACCGTCATGTGAAGACGTAGACCCTTACTACATTTATCGGCGGCTCCACGAATGTGGCTTGCTGAGGGTTATTCTTTCTGAAAAGCATCCGTTTTTCGCCATGGGTTTTCCTCCGTTCCCGGCCTCCTAAACTAATGTGATTGCCTTTTCCCTTACACGTTGGCGTGGACGACATCTTCGGTTCATGGCTGTGGGGCGGTCTCGACATATTATCTCGAGCATGTGTGTTTGTACTGTATGTACGCCGTAGTTTTGTAAGTGTTCGTTTGCGCCGCGTAGGGTGTCCATCGAGAACAAAAGCAGACGACGACGGTCGAAAGCTTTATCTCGTACGCATCAAACAGTATGGCTGGCAAACATCTTATCAGATGAAAGAGTTGTTGCTTTTACAGTTGCCTCGCCCGAGGGTAAACGACGTCAAATGTGTCTTCTGTCATATATGCCCATAATGGTAGAGCGGAGTGAATCACGTCGCATCGCGGAACTTTTGTTTTTTTGCAATTTTTATTGCAGGTCTCGTAGCGAACTATCTAGACTATGAACTCGCCCCTTCCTCCTTGTCCAGGCCCAGTCAAGGACGCAGACAGACAGGAATTTGCCGTTTTGTCTTTTCTTGTCACAAAACGGCTTCTCAAGAACATGACTTCGACCGTCCGCATGCAGTACGAAACATGCGCTTAGTAGACGCGGCGGGGCGGCGACATGGAAGCCTTGATGGTCAGGCTGCCGACGTTCTGCCAGCCCTTCTTGAGCAGGGAGACTAGGTAGTTGATGGCCAGCATGATGTTGGCCACCAGCTGCTCCTGGTCCATGCCGACGTTGCCGACGGCGACACCCATGCACAGCACCTTCTTCAGCTGGAACTTGATGGTGGACTTGACGTCGGTGATCTTGTCGGACAGCGACTCGGAGTGCGAGACGGGGGTCGGGAACTTGCCGGCCTTGGACAGACCAGGGCCCAGGATACGGGGAATGGTCTTGATCAGGGTCTCGGAGGCGATGAAGGCGTCGTACTTGCGGGCCAGCTTCTTGACGAGCTTCTTGTTCTTGTTGAGCTTCTTCAGGTCGTCCGACGACATGGCGTCGACACCGCCGTGCTTGGCGCGGTCAATGTCGTGCTGGTCACCCAGGATGCAGATGGCCATGTTGGGGCGGGGGACCGACGGCAGGCGGACGGTGCCCGAGAAACGCTTGTCACGCTGGGGATCATAGTTCTTGAGGCCGATCTGGAGCTCGACGGTCTCGAGGAAGTTGCGCTTCTTGGTCTCGTTCGAGTACTCGAGGACCTCGGCGACGTTGGCACTGGAGGACAAGTTAGTATTTGTCTTTTTTTTTTGTCGTTTTTCGTTTTTCTTTTTTTCGCTCGTCAAGAGCATCGTTATTCGTCGTTCATCATAACGTACCGCACTCCGGCGACGGTGATCTTAGACATATTGACCGTCTTCCAATAGAGAACAGAAAAATCTAATGGTGAGGATTATTGCGTGGGAATATGTTTGGGTTGCAGGACGGAAAGCCAGAACGAGAAGATGGATGGCGAGAAACTTTTAGGTGGAACGGAGGGGAGGGCACAGAAAATTCGCCCCACTTTTTTAAAAACGAGAAATGCATGTACCGAATTGTGGGCGTTGGCAAATGCCCTAGTGACGATGTCACGTGGCGTAATGCGTCATCTTGCACGTGATAAGTCAGGTGCTGGTATCTTACACGAACCGACCCCGAACCAACGCCAGTCAGAAATGCCGACTTCTTTTCTCTCTTGTCACTCCTTCTTGGCCTATTGAATTAAAGCATGAATATTTTTGTGCCAGTCACATATCAGTTGTGATAAGTGGCATTTGATGCCCCGCTTATGTGTAGGATCTGTGCTTGCTGGGAATCTGAAACGCTGTTTGCCTCACCAACTGCAGGCCAATGCATCCTGCCTGTGTTTCTCCAAAGGAACACAGGTTGCAGCCACCAGCAGCTCAGATATCACACAAAGCAAGCATTATCTCTGCAGCTCCAGTTTGTGACAACATTGTACAACGATATGTGGCCGATCTGCCTTCTGCATTGGCACTGCTTAAGCAGCATTGTAAGGCGGATCGACGCCGTTTTGAAACGGCAGGACCAGTGGTGAAAATTATGTGCACACCGAGAAAGGTGGCTCGGGTGGTGTGCCGTGAGACATGGTTTGGAAATACTCCTGTCGCCTGGACCCTGCTTGTTTGAGGCTCCCACGGGCCTCAGCGGCCGTGCACAATTATGTTGTTAATTTTCCGAGGCGCGGATGTCGGCTGCATTGATTCTACTGAGAACGTTTACCACTGATTCTTTGCCTGTACGAAGGTGCTCTCAACCAGGAGATGGGCGCTGGGCCCCTGTCTCTCAGCCTTGCCATGGATCGCCGCGGATCCGCACCAATCGCATCATTATCTTCTCTGAGCGTTAGAGTCCCGAGCGCGGAAATCCATGCATGTCCATCACGAAGAGGCTGTGTACGATGTAAGTCGTACTCGGCATATCGAACTGGGCTCTCTTAGCTGCCGGAGAAGTAACAAGGTATACGCATCCCTCCGTAAAATGCACGGTGTGAACACCAGGAAAAATAAACGAGCGAGTGCGTCCTCCAAGGAACAAGCGGGCAATCCATGTGGTCAGATCTCGAATATCAAAAACGATGATGCAACGGTGAGTTTGAAGATGGACCAACAACTCCCAGAAGAGCAAGAAATGCCCCCTATGTTCTGTTTAAAACGTCGGAGGCTACCATCGAAACAAAATAAAACAAGACTGGTGAGTATGGTGGCGCTGAGGCAGACGTTTGCCACTTCGTTTTCTGTTTCCCTTTTTGGACTACTTTCATAATTTATCGATATTATCCTCCTGCCATTTGTTAGTATCTCGTGGTTTGACAAAAAAAAAAAAAAAAAAAAAAAAAAAAAAAAAAGAAACGGCGTGCCATCAGAAGTGGCTCTGTTCATGCAGGACGATCCGATGCCCATCAGGAAATCATAAAGCATGAGGAAAACGGAGGCCTTCCAAGTAAAATAAAAGTAAAATAAATAAATGCTTCAATACAACGAAATCACGACTGATGTGATACGAACGAACCGACATTCTGTCATCCCGAAGCAAGTCTACCCCCTTACAGTCCGTGAGGCGCTCCGCAGTTTGCCGTGACTCTTGTGCATTATTATCTTGTGGTATATATCTTGCTCTTTCTCGCCATCCTTGGTTCGGATCTTCTGGTCTGCTCATCTACAAAGCAAGGACCTAGTTCGCCAGTGTCCTCGCTCCTGCTATCCTTTTCCCTCTTCACAAACTCCGCTGCCATGGAACGTCCACCTGCACGGCGACTGGCATGGCCGTCGCTCCATTTAGCCGACGCGGGCACGCGCGGACCGGCCATCATGATCCTCATGTCCGTCCTCATCGGTGTCACAATACTGCTCGTTGGTGTCCGCATCTACACACGGTGCCGCATCACCCGGGGACTTGGCTCAGACGACGGGCTGATTCTCCTTTCCTTGGTGAGTCCACTTTGTTGTTCCTCTTCATCTCGAGCCAGGTCGTTGACTGACACCGTCTCCAGACGATTGCTGTAGCCTTTTCTGCTGCCGGTATTGCAGGTGCACTCACGCTGCAATGGGGTCAGCACGTTTGGGCCCTCATGCCGAGTTCTATCGTTCCGGGCCTGAAATTGACGTGAGTTTCTTCTTCTCCTTCTTCTTTTTTCAGTATGCTCACTCTTCACCAGCCTCGCGATGCAAGTACTCTTTGACGGCGCGACCAACCTGACCAAGTTGTCCATGCTGGCCCTCTTTATACGCATCACGCATGCCAGCGGCCAGCACGCAGCCCGCCGCATGGCCTTGTGTCTTGCTGGTGTCGTGCTGGCCAGTATTGTCGTCTTTCTCCTCGTCGACGTCTTTCAGTGCCGTCCCGTCGCGGCCTACTGGTCCCTGTCTTCCTCTGGCCCACGCCACTGCATCAACCAGGCCAGCCATCTGCTGGCCGCAGGCATCATCAATACGGTGGCCGACCTCATCATTGCGGTCGTGTTTCCCTTCCAGTATTGGTCGGCTGTCGACAAAGCCAAGGCGACGGCTACCGCGACGGCTACCGCGACGGCCACCGCTGCAACGGTATCGGTGTCGCTACCGGCATCCGCGTCTGCGAGTGCCCCCACGGCCAAGCAGCCTGATATGCCCTGGACGCGCGGCCATAGTCGGAGCAGAAACCAATCTGAATCGTCCACCTCATCAGAAACAACAGCAGTGTCGCTGCCCGCGTCGTCGGCGTCGTCTGCTCCTTTGATCCGCGGCACGCGGGTTGTCATCACGGGCCCGGCACCCTCCAAGCGCAGACGCCTTCGTCTCTGTCGGCCACCGGCGATCGTGACCAGCCTCTTTGTGGGTGGTCTCCTGGTAGTCGCCGCCGGGGCTGCTCGCACTGTATTTACGTGGAAATCCATGACAAGCGCCGATGGTGACCTGACTTGGAACACGGCACCGGCGTTGATGGCCAGCGCCCTCGAGCTCCACATTGGTATTGTTCGTTCTCGTCCGTGACCCCGACCGTCTGACTGTGAATGAGTTGCTGTGTCCCTCTGCTGACTCCACAGATCGTGGCCTCGCTGCCGGCACTGAAGCCGTTCTTTTGCCGTTTTCTTCCCGACCGCTACACCGCGGCCCAGTCTCGCCTTTCGAGAGAACGAAATTCATGGCCCGGTCGATCCGAAAAACGGACGGGAGCAGCGCCCTCCAGAACCCGCTCTCTCTTCTCACTGCGGTCCATGCTCTTCATTGCTCGTGAGAACGGCAGCGCCAAGCCGAGTCGACCGCCGCTCGATCTCAACAAACCCCTGCCAACACTCAAACGCCCAGAAGACGACGATGCGCAAACAATGCTCAAAACCGCGCGGCCGGGGTTCTCCCACAGCGTCTACGACTTCCAGGCCGACCCCGACGGCTACATTCGAGTGCATAAGGTGGTTTCGCACACGCCCACACCGGACCCTGGCAACACTGTCTGATATCGAGTGGACAAGATGTATATACATACTATAAGAGTTGTAGATTGCTGCTTTGGCATGTCGTATGTCTGTAAAAAAAGAGGTATATCATGCGAGTCAAAAGCAAAAGCAAAAGCAAATGCAAATGCAAATGCAGGAAATAGTATTCAACAACGGGTCAAATTCCCAGGAGAGATATATAGCGCCATGTAAATAAAGTCAACGTGCTGGATAGATGTCGGGATGCTCGGCTTCGTGCTCAGTGCTCAGCCTTTGCCTCGGGTATAACGCTTTCGGCGACACTGGCCTCCACGGCAGACATGTCGCTGTCCTTGACGGCCTCCTTTGCCTCCTCCTCCCCCTCCCCATCCCCGTCCTCATCCTCTTCTTCCTCCTTCTCCACTTCAGAAGTAGCCTCATCGGTAGGTGCTGACTCGGGCTCATCAGTAGCTTCCTCTTCCACGACGGCCCCTTCCACAGACTCGACGTGGCTCTCGTCCTCGGCCTCCCCATCCTCCTCAACCGGCACCTCAGCAACGGCAGGTGCGTCCTCCTCTTCAGCTGCCTCCTCAATGGATTCTTCTTCGACGGCTTCCTCCTCCGCTTGCTTTTCCTCGACAACATCCTCTTCGACAAGTTCTTCTTCCTCCTCGGGACCCTCTTTGACAGGCTCTGTCTCCTTGGCTGCAGCACCGGCATAAGAGTTGGGCACCTCCTCCTTCACAGATTCGGCAACCTTTGTGGGCGGGGGGAAGTCTGGGTTGCGCGTAATGCACGCAGGCGGGCGGTTGGCCAGCGATGGTGGCTCCGGGACGGCCTTCTTTCCCGTGGCGGTAGCAGCCACGCTCTCCCGCGGTGCCGAGCTCTTTCGTGCCGTCTTGGTTGCGATGGGGACCGCCGCCACATGCGCCACGACCGGCTGTTTCCGTGGCGGTGACAGCTGCGCCTTGTCGGCCGTCTTGAGCGCCGAGGCCTGCGTCGGCCGCATCATACGCGCCAAAAAGCCCTCGTCGACCTCCTTCTCCTTTCGGGTCACCGGATGGTCGCGGGCGGTCTGTTTGGGCGGCGGGCCGATGCTGGGCCGCGGCCGGCTGACCGTCGAGCTCTGCCGCCGAAGCGTCCTTGGGCCAACAGCAGCAGCAGCAGCAGCAGCAGACGACGTGCTGGTGCGGCTTGGCGAGCGCGCCGCCGAGGCGGAGGATGCCGGCTGGTGCAGCGTCAGGAAATTGCCAGACTGCCGCGACAGGGACGGCCGCGGCACGCCGGCCTTGGTGGCCGACGACGCTGTGTGCGTGGTTAGGCTGGACGGTAGCTGCACGGGCCGCGTGGGCGACTTGACCTTGGGCTTCACAAAACCGATGCCGTTGGGTGGGAACGTCTGGACCGCAGCGGGCTTTTTGGCCCCGGCCGCCGACGAGGAGGATTTGCTGCCCGCCGTCAGCTTAGGCGCCGTTGCCGTGGTCGTCGCGGACGCTGGCTTCTTGCTGGGCAGCTTGGACGTCGTCGTAGGTTTGGATGATGACGTTGTCGTCGTCGCCTTCGTCGCCGTCGTCTTGGCCGTCGTAGGCTTGGCTGGGCTGGTAGGTGTCTTGGGCGTCTTGACCGTGGGCGACTTCACAGCAAGACCGGGCGACTTCGCTGCGGGCTTCGTAGTATCCCTGACCGTCGCAATGGCCTTCGGGGCGCTCTTTCCAGCGCTTGTAGCGATCGGCTTGTGCGCCTCCTTGCCGCCGGGGCCTGTGCTGGTGACCTTTGGATGCAGCGGGAGAGAGGAGGTAGAGGCAGCCGAACGCGACGAGCCCGTCACAGGTGTATCCTTGGCCACCCCGTTGGCGGCACCGTTAGTGCGGGTCGCCGCCCGAGGCGCCGCTTGGCTCGAAAGACCGCCCTTGGGCACGTTGGCAGCCTTCTTGACGCCATTCGACGCAGGTGCGGGCGCATCCAGTGTTTTCTTGGGCGTGCCCGATGCAGGCTCGCCGTCGGCTGGCTTGGGAAACAGCTTTCTGGGAGTCGGTGCTGGCGATTTGTCTCTCGGAGCGGCCTTTGCATCCAGAGACTTGATGGTCTCGTCTTTATTTGTCTGCACTGGTGTTGGTGCTGAGACCTTTGCCTTAGCCGGTGGCTGGGGCTTTGGGGTAGCTTCCCGTACCGGCTTTGCCACAGACACAGGCAATGGTGCCTTTGTCGGTGTCACTGGCGTCGACTCCTCCGGAATGGGCGCTGGCATCCGCTTAGGTGTCTGTGTCGTGGGCGCCGGCTTGGAGTCCTCCAACTTGATGGGCGACCTGCTTCGGGCCGGCGAAAGGGGCACGCCCGGCACGGCAACGTCGGATTCGGTTCCACCGGAGAGCGTCCTCGACAGTGTCGGAACCGAGTCGCTGCTCGTATCGCGCTGGAGGCCGACCCGGCCGTCCTTTTCGACCGTGACGAAGCTCGTCCGCACACGTGAGAGCGGCCGAGGGGAGTCAGTGGCTAATGTACGGCTAGGTTAGCATGCAGTCGACAAGGAAGTAGGGGGTAGCGCAAAGGGACGTCGTACGCGTAGTAGGCAGACCCTCCCGGCCGCGGTCAGGGGGGCTCGAGTCCCCCTTTTGCTCGAACATGGCGCGAAGATTTTTAACCTGACTCATGATGCCGGTATTGAGGCGAGGTGACTTCTGGGAGGGAAAGAACGCCCCGAGACGGTTAATTTATGGCGGCAGGCGCCCTCGGCGCAAGGCAGTCGAGTAGGTTGCTCGGGAAGGAAAGAGCTGGTCGGCGCTACGGTCGAGGTCGTTCGGATAGGGAAGGCGCGACGGTAGACGTAAAAAAGCTGAGAATTGGCAATGTGCAAACAGGTAGTCGTGAGCGGACTACCGGTCGATTTGGAGGTTGAGTCGAATTGAAGAAAAGGAGAAACCGGAACGCAGTGCAGTAGCTCGCCTGGTCGAACGGATACTGAGGCTTGCTGCGTCAGGGGGGAGCGCGAGGATAGACTGCTAATGTAAAGGAGAGCTATGGAATAGGCAGTGGGTGTAAACTGAGAGGGAAGGATCCAAGAGCGTGAGTCGAGGTCAGTACTTCGTACAGGAAGGCACGATGCTGGGTTTGCGAGACGAGGCCACAGGAGGCAGCTTTCAATTCGCACCAACGGTTGTCTTTTCCTCGCGAACCTGGCCACACCGTTTTATTTTGGCTGGTTTCATTTGTGGCTGGAGAATGTATTTCGTAGTCTGACAGGCAGCAGAGTGTAGGAATGCCAGAGCAAAAGGGCATTGGAGTGGGACTTCTCGGGCCAACGAGGCGAGCCATGCCAATGGCTGTGTGGCACCCGATTTTAAATTATTGGGCCCTGAGGGCCAGACCAAGCTAGAAACGTCTTGTTTCAGGGAGCATGCAGCGCACCGTTTTTGGTGGATGTCCGTATTTGCAAAGGACACGCCGTAATCGCGTACGAAGCACGGTGCTATATGTAAACGTAAAAGGGCAACCGCGAACGTGGAAAACGGCAAGCAAAACAGGCAGGAAGATCAAACGGAGAAGCGGAAGGAGCAAAGGCGGCGACTCCGGCACGTCAGAGGAGAGGCCAGGAGCTTGTTTACGGGGGCACTCGGCTACAAAGGAGAGGAAGGAAACGAACGAGATGGAAGCTTCATACATCGTGCCGGCCACGTTCGAGGAAGCCTCAGACGACTGATGCATACGGCGTTTCGTATGCTGCGGTGTACCACGCGGCGGTTGGCAGTTTATGCGGCGGAGCCGCCAGGAACGTGACTTCCCTTGCCCATTAAACCCCTGACGCAACCTTCCCCTTTCCCTTCCCCTTTCTGTGGGATTTATGGGAAGGAGCCTCCAAGGCGTGTTACCAACCAATCGTTTCAACCGTTTCGGAGATCTGACAGGCCGTTCCCAGTACCCTGGACGCCGTATTGTTTCTTGTCAGATTTGGAAAGAGCGACTCGGCAGGAAGACTCGGCCAGGAAAGAGATGGAAATTCAGACACAAAACACCTTCCTTGAGCTCTCACCGCATATTGAATGTTGTACGAAATATTTACTATCTACTTACTCCGGTAGAGGGTGTCTGCTAGATAGGAAATGGTAAGTGCGCTAATCCATACCCCGTATTTAATATGAAAAATAGGGGTAATAATAGAAGAAAACCGTAATTCGTACCTGACCAAAGGGAGCAACCGCTTGGACCTTGCCAGTCGCTTGCTGCACTTTCCTCCTTCTAGAATCGCGATTGGTTTGCCCCACTTTGCGGCAGAGGCACGCCTGTCGCTCTTTCAGCAACAGCGCGATAGTTAGCGTGCTTCCGATAGTCGCGGCGAAAACGGTTCGCTCAAGCTGGCGGTACCCCGCCATTGCTAACAATTGCACCATTTTCGAATGTACTTACAGCGGATGGCGGCACGCTGTAAAAATTCATCAGAGAGTGCCAAAACAGCCGCCATCGAAATCGTGACCAAAACACCACGAACGACGTTGACGTTCCTGTTTTGAGCCATTGAACCGCAGCCATGGCAGCCAGAAGAACCCTGAGAATCGGTGCGTCCATGTGCCGCTGCTGACGAATGTAGCAGCACCCGTTGCTAACCGTGTCCGCTCATAGGCCTCATCCCCGGTGACGGCATCGGCAAAGAGGTGATCCCGGCCGGCCGGCGCATCCTCGAGGCGCTGCCCGCCAGCCTGGGCCTCAAGTTTTCGTTTGTCGACCTGCAGGCCGGCTTCGAGACGTTTGAGACGACGGGCGCCGCGCTGCCCGACGCCACCGTCGAGACGCTCAAGAAGGAGTGCGACGGCGCCCTGTTCGGCGCCGTGTCCTCGCCGTCGACCGCGGTCAAGGGCTACTCGTCGCCCATTGTGGCGCTGCGCAAGAAGCTCGACCTGTACGCCAATGTGCGGCCCGTCAAGACGGCGGCCGGCGAGAAGGGCGTCAAGCCCGTCGACATGGTCATTGTGCGCGAGAACACGGAGGATCTGTACGTGAAGGAGGAGCGCACGTTTGACGACGCCAGCGGGCGCGGCGGCAAGGTGGCGGAGGCGATCAAGCGCATTTCCGAGCATGCGTCGCACCGCATTGCCACGATGGCGGGCGAGATTGCGCTGCGCCGTCAGAAGATCCGCGATGCGGAAGCCGCCAGCGGCGGGCGGACGACCAGCATCCACGCGCGGCCCATGGTCACCATCACGCACAAGTCCAACGTGCTGTCGCAGACCGACGGCCTGTTCCGCTCGACGGCGCGCGCGGCGCTGGCGGCGCCGCGCTTCAGCAGCGGCGTGACCGTGGAGGAGCAGATTGTCGACTCCATGGTGTACAAGCTGTTCCGCCAGCCCGAATACTACGACGTGATTGTGGCGCCCAACCTGTACGGCGACATTCTGTCCGACGGCGCCGCGGCGCTCGTCGGCTCGCTGGGGCTTGTGCCCAGCGCCAACGTCGGCGAGACCTTTGCCATTGGCGAGCCCTGCCACGGCAGTGCGCCCGACATCCAGGGCCAGGGCATTGCCAACCCCATCGCCACGCTGCGCAGCACGGCGCTGATGCTGGAGTTTCTCAACGAGGAGGCGGCCGCCGCCAAGATCTACGCGGCCGTCGACGCCAACCTGGCCGAGGGGAAGCTGCTCAGCCCCGACCTGGGCGGCACGGCCAAGACCGAGGAAGTATTCCAGGACGTCGTCAGAAGGCTGTAAGGCTGAAAGTAATGTTGATTGCAATGCAAAAAAGTTCAATAGAATCCGGCTATAAGACGTGGAAAATGGAGCGCAACAGACGTTAGTGCTGACGGCGACGCTTACACGGCATGGTATCACCACGCGTTCCGTAAGGCGACTTGACACAAAAGTATTTCAATATTTCAGTATTTTCTTCGATTGACCTTAAAATTTGTATTGTACTGTGGTATAATTTCGATGCAACTACCTAAATGCACTATGTCTTGTATTTTCACGTTTTATTGAATGGAACACTTTGCCGGGAGTCCGCAAGGACCGGCCTTGGAGCCAGTCCCTTGCTGGGGGCCAGAAGCCGGTGCGGAAGAGCTGGGCGCGCCGGTGCCCGCGGCTGTGGCGGCGGAGCCGCTGTTCTGTGCCGCGGGTGCAGCAGCCGCCTTGGCCTGTCCCGCAGGGACTGCCTGCTGCCCGTCTGTGGCGTTGCCATGCAGTCATGCCACCTTGGAGACGATCTTGTAGAAAGCCTCGCCCTGGATGGTGGCAATCTCCTTCTCCAGAGCCGAGGGCTGGCGGCTGCCATCGGAGGCGGCGAAGGTGCCGGCACCCCAGGGGGAGCCGCCGTGGACCTCATCCAGGTTGGCCAGCTGAGGGAAGGAGTGGGAGTAGCCCAGGGGCACGTAGATGATGCCGTGGTGCGCCAGCGTGCTGAGGGACGCCAGAGCCGTGGACTCCTGGCCACCGCCGTGGGCGGCACTGCTGACGAACAAGCCGGCGTACTTGCCGGCGTAGCCACCGCTGGCCCAGATGCCACCAGACTTGTCCCAGAAGGTCTATGATGTCAGAGAGTTTTACCAAAAAAAAAAAAAAAAAAAAAAAAAAAGAAAGAAAAAAAAGAAACTCTCAGTGACCATATTCTTCACGTACCTTCCACTGGGCGGGGAAGTTGCCGTAACGGGTGGGGATGCCGAAGAGGAAGGCATCGTACTGGAGAAGGGTGGCCGGGTCGGTCAGGACAGGGATGTCCGTGGGCTTGGGCGGGGCGTGCATCTTGGCCAGGACCTCCTCGGAAAGCGTCTCCTCAACCTGGTACAGGTCGGCAGTGCCGCCGGCCTTCTCAATGCCGGCCTTCTCAGCCTCCGCCAGCTGGCGGATGTGGCCGTAGAGGGAGTACTGGCGAGCGTCTCTGTTAGCTTCCCGCCGTATGCACGTAGGCCGTTGGGGTGCACTGTGGGGAGCAGGGGCTACTCACGAAGACGATGGCGATCTTAGGGGCCATTGTGTCGATGTGTGTTGATATAAAAGGGTGGGTTTTGTTGACTGAAGAGATGGAAAGCGGATGGTGATGCTCTGGAAGACAAAGAAGAAGAGGCAAGAGCCAGCCGGGCCAAGGACGCAGCGGGAAGGCGCGTTATATACCCCGAACGCCACAGGGCGACCTGTGCTATCGTGCGAGCTTTGTCCTTGGTCGGCTCCCGCCCATTCCACCGTGCATTTCTGAGAACAGCTGGTCGAGCGGGCAACTGCGACCGGCCTTGGAGGGGAAAGAGCGAGGCTCGACTTTGCGGGTTCCTGATTTGGCGCATAGCGCATGGGCATAGCGCACGCCATCTGGGATATGCCGTAATCAATTGCAAAGCATGCTAAATCAAAGCTGCACGGCGCCATCTGGCCTTTGTAAGAGCCCCTCTCTAGCGAATGACTTGCGCATCTCTCCACATGGAACCGCATCGCTGCCCCTGCAACAGTTGCTTTAGCTCATCCCGCAACGGTAGCTTAGCATTCTTCAATCGCAAGACACAGAAACAGCTCCAGCACGGTTTCTCGGGACGAGCAACACGTACACTTCTTGGTCGATATCCGGTTGCTCCTTTCCCAGACGTTCACTGGAATGCCTTGAGGTTTTTCGTCTTGCGGTTAAGGCAGCCCATCAGTCAGTTCATTGAGTGTTTGTGAGAGGCGGCGAGCAGAAATCATGGATGGCTCAGGCTTGTCCTCAATGACGGGTTCTTGCTCTTGCCTCGCCCTGCAACATCAAGAGCAAAGGTACTTGGCCAAACCAAGCCCCCACGACACGATGTCCCGTCTCACCAACGCTCTACATTTGCAAAATGGCCGGCCGTGATGACAATTCAGCAGCTCGCGCCTCCGGAGAGCGCTATTGTCGGCCAAAGCTGTCCTCTTCCTATTCGCCAAGAAGGCCGCCTGGCCTACTTACAAGCGCGGTGGGCATCGGACGCCGGACGGAGGAACGGTGTTGCTTTTGTTGTTTTCAATCTCTTAGTTGTGAATTTGTCGTCTTTAGAAGCCCAATTGTCAGCCGATTCGATGCATGTTTTCCTGCGGAGTCACTGTGTGGTCCGGCCGCATCGTGCATATCGTGCAGACGAGCGATCCTGGCCGTTCTGTAAGACAATGTTGCCTCTTAGGTGCTAAAGCTCACGCGATGTATCTTAATGCTTGGACCCAAACTGTGCCCCTCAACGGGAAAGAGCTTCTCCACTAGCTTCCAACTGCTCTTTCCACACAAAACACTGGACACCTCTTGTGAGGCCCCATTGACCTCCTCCTGCTCAGCGCAGGAAGGAGCAAAGGAAGTACCGACTTCGCACAGAGATGGAAATACAGAAGGAGCTCGCTCCCGGCTGTCATTTCGACGCCGTCATTTGTCGTCACAATCATGCAATGGGACTCTTTGCCTTGATGAATAGATGAATCAGCGATGACAGAACCTCGCATAAGGGTGTTTGCAATCCGATGCGAAGAAGTGCTCACCAAGATGTCCTGTTCCAGACCCACCTCTGATTGGCGCTCAGTGGCCAATTGCCTAGCAACAGCGGCCCCACCAGCGTCCGTTCAACGCATTTGTCGTTCCTGACAAATGGTGAGCAAAGCGCCGATTGCCCCTCTGCACCTGCCATCTCTGGCGAATAATTAGCTCCTGCCCCGCAAGGTCCTGTGCGACCCAACCAGGCGACCACACACAAACGCCTGTGGGCTGCCAAGAGCTCCAGAATCAGCAGAAGTAACATCACGCATAGTCGTCGGCATTCGCAAGCCACACTACGAGACTACCTCCTACCAGCCATGCGTATGAGACCAGCTTGACCTGGTTTGCAAGCTCCAGGGGCAGATCTCACATTTGTCTTAGCCACAAGCCACACTCCTTCGCTCCCCCTTGGCCAGATCGTCGCTTAGCTCTCAAGGTGAGAATGTGCTTCTCAAGGTATGCCACCATAAGACAGATGTACTTGTTAGTCCCGTCTCCTACGAGCGCCACGGCATGGTCAGCCATTACGGGACGCTTTGAAAACATTTTCCTTTTTTTTTTCGGCCGAAGTACGGTGGTTACCGTGGTTGTGAGGTATGTACGTCTGCACATCCTAATCCGAAGAGGGCAGTGTGAAGTTCTATCGATATTATTCTCTATTTATTATTCTACTGACATGATTAAAGAGGTATATGACTAGGCCGATGCAACTCCATATACGCAAACGCTATGCAAAGATGGGATGGAAATGCAGGGGAAAAGAGAGAAAAAAGGGGGGGAAAAAAGAAGAAGAAAAAAGACACTGAAAGAATGAAAAGATTAGGTGCGCCCACGCTTGCGACAATGATTCTCTACAAGATAACAAGACCCCCTCCCACGGCTCACTTTCCCACAACATCGTCTCTGGGCATCACTCTGGACAGGTGATGAACTGGTCGCTCGCCACGTCCGTCATGCCACAGCCCTCTTGTCCTCGCGCCACACGCCGTAGCGCGAGACAAAGAAAAAGGCTGTGCCGAGCGTGACGCCGGCGGCGGCAAAGCCAACCATCCCCATCCACTGGGTGTCGGAGAAGCCGTCGCCCAGGATCGAGCCGGCAATGGGCGGGCCGATGAGGCAGGCAATGCCCGTCGCGAAAAAGCTCATGCCCATGCGCGTGCCGAGGCGGCTCATGTCCTTGGTCAAGCCGATGATGACGCTCGCAATGAGACTGACGATGCCGCCCGAGAAGAGGCCGTACAGCATCGCAAAGACAATCGTGCCGGCCAGGTGCGCGCTGCCGGCGCCGTTGACGGCCGAGGCGCCCGCCGAGACGGCCACGATGCCCATCCACCCAAACAGCAGGATGGCACTGACGACCATGCACACCAGGATCAGGTTGAGGCTGCCGTAGCGCAGGGCGATGACGTTGGGCAGGATGCGGCCAAAGACGCTGCCGACATTGAGCACGGTGACGAGGTAAAAGGGGCTGAACGACTCGTTGAAGATGCCGCGGCGCTCGCCAAAGAGCTGGATGTAAAAGAAGGGCACAAAGACACACATGAACACCAGGCAGTTGCCAATCACCATGGCCATAAACGGCAGCTCCTTGAAGGCGGACGTGTCGATGAGGGCGCGGCGGCCGTGGCTGGCGGCGATGCGGGGCCGCATAAAGACAATGGGCACGATGGCGAGGCCCAGCAGGATGAAGGCGATGATGCGCGTGGCCCAGGCGTGGCCCAGCTGCGGCTGCACGCGCGAAAACAGGATCGGGAAGACGATGCCCGCGAGCGGGCTGCCGGACGAGCTGATGCCAATGGCCAGCGCGCGCTTCTTGAGAAAGTACTGCGACAGGATGGCGTTGGCCGGCGTAAAGGTGAGGCCCATGCCCAGGCCGACGACCAGGCCCTGCGCCAGAATGATCTGCCAGTACGCGGTGCACAGCGAGGTCATGAACAGCCCAAAGACGATCAGGAACAGGCCGGTTGCGATGAGGTAGATGAAGTAGCCGGCGTCGTACAGCGGGCCCGCGACGACGCCGCCGATCAGCAGCAGAGCGACCTGCAGCGAGCCGATCCATGCAATGTCCGTGGCCGAGCCGCCGTTCTTGCCGACCAGCAAGTCCGTCTGGTAAAACGTCTCGTACACGCCAAACGTGTTCACGATGCCAAACGTCTCGACCATGACGACCCAGCAGCCGAGGACCTGCAGCCACGCGCGGACACCGCCATCGGGAATGGGAGCCACCTGTGCCGCTTGCGGGGCGTCGCCCGCGTTTGCAGCGGCTGCTGCCAAGGCTCCCTGCACGGGCCGTGTGGCTGCCGGCTCTTGTGGTTTGTCCTCGTCACCGTACGATGGCGCGTCTGCTGTGTCGTCTGCCTTTTCCTCGTCGACCATCTCGTGGCGGTCGTCTCTGCTCCATTGCCGTGTCTCCTTTATTTCCGAGTCGGAGCTTGAAGAAGCCATCGGGTCTTCGTTGCTATCCATGTCCATGAAAGGTAACTCGATCGTCGAGACCTCGGTACGGTCAGATGCTGTCTTGCTGGTGTGTCGCGATGGACGAGGCGTGAATCGACTTGGTAGAGCGGTGTAGATCTGGAAAGATGCTTGGTGCTTCAACCAGCATGGACTTTGCACACAAGGCAATGTGCGAGGTCTTTATACAAGCAGCCAGAGGCAGAGAAACGGCCAGAATCGTTTGCTGCTTTGAAACGACAGCAAGACAAATGCAAGATGCGGAGTTTAGGAGAATAATCAAAAAAGTACGAGGGGACAAAACCATGACTCAAAACACGAGCCAGCCGATATCCTCACGGAGAGTCTTTTCCAACAGCGAGAGAGAGCGCGAAAAGAGCGAGCTAATTACTCATTCTAAAGAGGAAGCTAAATAAAAAAATAAAAATAAAAAAGCGCCGCAGTGAGAGTCGTGGGGTGACAGCCAAAAGCGAGGAGGTGGGCCTTGGCTTAGAAATGCCACTGCAGAACGGGAGCGAAAGCAACAAAATGGGGTGGATCACCACACACGTTAGTACAAAAAACGTGAGAAAAGAGGTAGTCTGAACTGTGGACGGGAATAGCTGCGTGCCGAAGTCCGGGGTCCAGAGGTGATGCTGCCGTTGTGGGGCGGAACCTGCCATCGGACTCGCTCGCGGTTGGTGCTTACCCGACCGCTTCATCAACACTGCGTCACAGTGCTTCTGAAGACTCGGTGCAGTTTGACATTTCCTACGCAAAACTTGAAAGAACGACTGAACTTCGATTCACGACTTGTGCCGCATTTATTTTTTATTTTTATTTTATTTTTTTATTTTTTTTATTTTTTATTTTTTATTTATTTTTTTTGTTTTGTTTGTTTTTCTCGAATTCCATCGACCCCTGTGGTCTCATTGATACGCCTTTCAACGGACTACGGAGCAAAAGGCAAGATACAGTGGCCAACGTGTCAGATTAGACGTATCGGTCAAAATACGACGTAAAGGAGAACCAGGTCAAGCCGAAGCTATTCAGAGGCGGCAACATGTCCCTTTCTCCCCTGATACGACAACTTCTATTTTCAAAAGGGAAAAGAAACAATTAATAACATTGTGAATGACAAACTGTGGATTGACGTGAAAATGTTTTCGCCTGAACTGATTTTTAATGCCTTAGGTTGTAAGTGCACGAATTGGTGAAAGGGCCGAGAGCCGTTGGTCAGATACCGAAAGCGGGATATGGCTGTCGTACTTTTGTTTTTCCTCAACACACATTGATTGCAAATCAGCGTCGATTACGGCAGTGGACGCACCCGCTACCACAGAACCTCCACTAAATAGAATCAGCCCTCGTGACGTCACATTGCTGCTCTGACACCATTTTCCTAATTAGGGAAGATTGACCGACAGCGTTGAAATGGCTTATGCCGGCAAAACTATTGTCAGGATTCACGGTCAAAAGAAATGAGCTCCCGAAGCGAAAACGACGTCCAAATTCTAATCATACAGTCTCCGTCCCAAATCGCCTGTTTCGTATATTTTGCATCACGTAAATGTCTCGTGTTCGTTTCCTTTAGCCCACGACAAATCAAACAGAAGACGAAAGAAAGAAAAACGGGACGAAGGAAACACGTCCATGTCCGTCATCCGTCATCGTCGCGTCGCCACCGCCTCTCATGAAAAGCGTATGCTGCTCAGACGGCTGGTCAACACGTCGAGGTCGATCACGGCATGCTGCAGCCCGTCTCCGTCTTTGTCATCATGGCTGTGGCCATGGCCGAGACCACGGCCCTGACCACGGCCCGCCGCCGCCGCCGCTTCACCGCCCACAAGGCTACGCAGGCGCGTCGCCGCCTGCAGCAGCGGCTCCACATACCGCTGCTCAATGGCCGGGCCCATGCCCGGCGGTACGACCGTAGCCTTGAGCTTGTCGGAGCAAAACAGGAAATAGGCAAAGTTGGCCGCCTGCAGCAGGAACGGCGCGTTCTGCAGCCAGTAGTCGACCAGTGTCGACGACGCCTTGTCGGCATCGGCCGCTGCCAGCGCCTGCAGGTCCGGGAAGATGGCGTACTGCAGCTGCTCGACGGCGTCCGGCCCACTAAACAGAGTCTTGTCGTCGGCTGTCTTGTCGTCGGCTGTCTCGGTCGTCGCGGCCGTCTCGGCCGTGGCCGCCACAATCTCCTCGCGCAGCCATGTCACGGCACATGCCTTGAGACTTGCAAACATGCAGTTCTCCAGCAGGTCCTGCAGGATCTTGAGCCGGTCCTCGGCGTCCGGGTTGGTGTGGAGCACGGAACCCGCGAGTGTCGTGGCAGCATTGCGCACGGCCAGCGACGGGTGGAACACGGAGCAGAGCGTCAGCAGGTGGTGGTAGGGCATAAAGTCGTCGGCCGCGTACGAGGCACGGGCAGCGGCAACGGTGTCGTTGCTTCGGCTGTACAGCTTGTGGTGGTCGAGCCACAGGCCAATGGCCACAAGGGCCTCGACGGTGCCCGGCCACTGCGCAATCTGGGCGCCGGCGTTGCCGTCGAGAAAGGTCTCGAGGATGGCGTAGTAATCGGGGAAGACGCGCAGGTTGGGGACGGCGGCATCGGACTTGAACACGTCCGATGAAAAGACCCAGTAGGCCAGCAGGCAAATAACACCGCCCGTGGAGAGCGAAATGCTGTCTACTCCACCCTCCGCTACGTCCAGGTCGGCAAATGGGTTGCGCCGCTCAGGACCCTTGGAGACGCTCGCAACCAGTGCGTCTGAGTACTTGAGTCCTAGGTCCAGGGCAAGGGCCTATGCTTTGTTAGCGATATTTTGAGTAAAAAAAAAAAAAAAAAAAAAAAAAAAAAAATTAAGAGCCAGCGTAGGAAAGACAGAACATACAACTAGCTGGCTCACGGACGCATCCCGCGCAATCTTGCTGGGGTCTTCCCGGAAATCGCTCAGCTCGGTAGGCCGGCCCGGCACGACGCGCTTTGGATAGTAAAACTCAATCAGACGCGGCGCCCAGGCCACATCGTTGGCGTTGACGTAGGCTTCGAGGATGCAGGTAACAAACGACTGCAGCAGCCGCTGCTGGAGGTCACCCTCGGACGGCGCCACCTGCTCCTCGGCCTCGGGATCTGGCACGCTGGCCGCGGCGTCGTCCGAGCGGTCGTAGTCGGCACCCACTTTGCCAATGGCACTCCTGCTAGCCGCCTTGGCGGCATTCGCGGCATCGGCAGCGGTGATGGCCGCGGCCGTGGCCGTCGCAGCGGACGACGGCGAGGCGGACTTGGCCAGGGCCAGCTCGCTCAGCTGGGAGTCGGACCGGCGCATGGGCGGCGCTGGCCGGCGGCGCGTCGCCAGAGACCGCACCAAGCCCATGATGGCCGTGGTCATGGCCGCGTTCGTCGGCCGGTAGGCGGCGAGAATGGTGCGCAGCGTCGTCTCGAGGAACCGCGACGGGTACTTTGTCTTGAGGCGGCGGTGGAGGATGGCCAGCATGCCCAGCAGGGCGACGAATGCCACTGTTGTCGCCTCCGTGTCGTTTGGCGCCTTGCTGTCCTCCTCGTCGTCCCCCGCCGCCGGCTCGCGGTCCACGTCGTCGTCCTCGTCAACGTCGCCCGCACCGTTGCCGCCACGGCTGCGGCTCGGTGCCAGTCGCTCCAGGACCTCGAGCACCTTGAGGATGACCTCGCGGGGGTTGCCGAGACGGGCCACGTCGTCGAGGCACGCTTCGGAGGCGGGCAGCAGCGGCACCAGCATGTCGACCAGGTCCCAGCCGAGCTCCTGGGTCAGCGAGGCGTCCTGCAGGACGGCATGCAGGGTGGGCAGCACCTCGGGCGACAGATGCTCCTCGATCAGGGTCAGGTATGTGAAGCGATCGGTCGCTGGCGGCCGAGCCGCAATCAGGGCCTCGATTGATTCGGATGCCGCGTCAGGAGGCGCCGGTGCGGTGGCCGGGGCCGGTGCTGCTGTTGCGGTCGAGCCTGCCATGACTGGACGAGGGATCAGAAGACGGTGGTGTGGTAGGTGTTTTGTACGGTGGACGGTGTGCCCGAATGCTTGAAAAGGAGAAGAGAAACGCAGCGAGGAACGGCGAAGAGCTTGTCGAGAGATGATGGCGAGTCGCAAGTTGGGAAAGAGCCACAGCAGAACAGGACCTTCCCCGTCGTATTATTCCACTTCGTTGGCACAGGTTGCACCTTCCTTGCTGCGGCGACTTCCAAGGCACGCCCTGTCTTAGACGCAGGCCTAGCTGCACTGTTTGTACTAATATTAGCGTTAGGTCTGGCCTGGTGCAAACGCGGAAACTACCAACCAGGCCGCGCTTCCCTTCCCTTTTCGTCATCGATGAGTGGTGTGCAGGCAGGTGCGATTCATCGACCCCGCACTGGCCCAGCGCCCGCAAACCCGCCGGGCGACACAGTGTCACGCTCTGTAATTAGTGGACTCGTCCCTGTGGGCCAGGGCCCTGAACTGGGCCGTTCTTTTTCTTTTTTCTTTTTTCTTTTTTTCTTTTTTCCTTTTTTCTTTTTCGAGGCGCGCCTCATCGCCAACAGTCACCCACACCAGGGCCACTTTACGCGTGTTGGTGCGTCGACCAGTGTTTCAACAGGGAGCCATCGGGGATGCTTTGAACAATGATGCCCATATTTCCATTAAAAACCATTTCACAGTCACCATCGAACGAGTCTATGCAGCCTTTGTACGTTATCCTGTGACGCGAAGCTCTCCCAACTCTCTCAACTTCCCTTGGCATCTCGACCAGCCTACTCCGTCTTGGGCTTGTCCTTCTCCCTGGCCTCCTTCTCCTGCTGGCCCCATTGCAGCCGCCGGCTCTTGCGCAGCATCCAGCTCCAGTGCTTCCACGGGTCCGCCGCCAGCTGCCGCATCTCGACCACGTCCGCATCGTGCGTTCCGACGCTCATCAGGCCGGCCTCGATCGCCAGGCGCGCGTACTTGGTCGCCAGCCACGGCTCGCCGTCGCCGTTGTACTCCACGGCTGCGTACGAGTACGCCTCGTAGAGCATCGCGTCCAGGCGCTCCTGCTCAAACAGACTGATAAACAGCTCGGCCATCTGCGGCGTGGCGCGCGACGTGACGGTGTAGTCGCGGAACTCGTCGCGCAGGTCGAGGATCTGCGCGATGCGGGCGTCCGAGGCCCTGGTCATCGGCCGGTTCTGGGTGCACAGCGAGCAGCCGCACGCGAAGCCCCACGTGTGCTTGAGCTTGTCCATGCGCGCCTTTCTCGGCTTGATCAGGCTGCGAGGGAGGGAGGTTAGCGAGAGGCGGCACAGATCCACAGACCCACAAAACAGCGCGGGCGACGGAACGACGTACTCCATGTACGACACGGTAATCTCTTCACCCGCAGCAATGGGCCGCACGGCGTGGATGTGCTGGGTCAGCGTGTCGTGGTCAAAGTGGTAGTCGGCGTTGGGCCGGCAGTCGTGGTTCAGGCGGGAGACTGGGACGAGGTCAGTAGGTGCTCAGCGCCGTTCGGTACACGTCGTCTGAACAGTCAGTCCTCTCTGCACCGGCCACGTACTCTCTGGGAACACGACAAAGTAGCCGCGCTCATCGTCGTCGTCCGTCTCAATGTCAAAGGCGTTTGTGGCCAGGATCTTGTTCACAATCTGCTCGTGGCCCTCGGTCGCGTCGTGCGTCGACAGGTTCATGAACCGCGCGTGGTGCCGCGGCGGCAGACTGTCCACGGCCACCGTCTGCATCCGCACCACATCTTCGTCAGGGATCGACTCAAACAAGGCATAGTCAATCACCACCGACGCCGTCGTGCTCATAATCAGGTCGCCCCGGCTCAGGTACTTGGTCGCCACCACGCCGAACCCCTTGCCCGGCATTGCCTCCACGCGGTAGCTCAGTGGCGGCTGGTCGCTGCGGTGGCCGTGCTCGCTCTCGTACACAATGTCGCGGTTGATGCCGCGGACGGTCTCTGGGTCGGCAAAGGCCGGTAGCTGTGCAAAGTGCACAGCTTTTGCGGGCGACGTCATGACCGTAATGCCGTGGCCCTCGGCGAATGACTCGCTCGTATAGACGCAGTACTCGGTGCCGTCGGTGCTGTTCTTATAGCAGGGCGTCGTCCGTGACCAAATGCCGTTGCTGGCGCTGCTGCTGCTGTCCTCTTTTGTTATCGGCGCTATGCGCCCGCCGCTCTGCGCGCACACCGCAAACTCCAGTCCTGGTGTTGCTTTGCGACAGATGCCTAGGCTGACCTGGTTGGAAATCGACTCGTGCGCAACAACCCCCAATCGTGCCAAGGCCAGGAACGCAACAGCTGCCTGGCAGAGCCGTGATGACCGTGTCGGTGCCATGGCTGCTACAGGATCGATGACAACAACAACAACAACAACAACAAACAAAAACAAAAAAAAAAAAAAAAAAAAAAAAAAAAAAAAAAAAAAGGAAAAGCACAAGCGAACAGCTTGTACCAGTATCAGGACGGGGCGGGGGTCGTTGTGGATGGGGCATACGCTGCATCTATACTCCAATTATTGAAATCAAAGACGCGATTACGGGCTCGCATGGGCAGCCGGCACCACTTCGAGCGAACGCGTGTCTTCTGCAAAGCGCCGTGTGCTGCCTTACCTTTGCTACAAATTAATTGGAGTGGAGTTGAGCCAAACACCAAGAAAAATAGATGAGGTACCGTAGATCGTAGTAGAAAACGAGCGGGCGGGTAAGGTTGATGGGATGGAAAGTACAAGAGTCACAAGATAAATTACAAGAAAAGAACAGCTCAAAATCGACGACGGAAAACATTGGGTCAATGACATGGCCAGAGGCTCGGCAACAGAAAAGATACGAGAATAGGACAGAGTGCGTTCGAAGATCACGCTGTATTGTGCGGCACATCTTGAGGCAATCTGAGCCGAAGAATATCGAGTCTGAGCGTGCCAGAAAGCAGGGAGTAGGAACTAAGCATCTTTATGCCAAGCCGCAAATCAATCGGATCAAAACGCAGACGTAGGTAAGACGGGGGGGCTTTCCAAGAACCAGTATGGAAAAGAAAGGGGCTTCCAACATCGACTGACTGTCTTTTAAGTCAACGAGAAAGCTTGTCGGACATCCGAAACGCGGGTGGGGAAAATGGGGGCTTCATGAGACGGAGAACCAAAGTTGCAGCTACAGCCGCTATGACAAGTTCAGACACGTCGTAAGCTTGGGTCCCTGCGCGGTGACAGCAGTCTCTGGCGAGTTGTCGACGTGGTAGCGTTTACGGCATCATGACAACGCCTCGTGACTGCCGACGCGGACGATTCCGACGAAGAGGACGACAAGTTGTAAATGGCTTGAGAGGGGTTCAAAATAGGTTTAGCGTCTCCACCTATTGGCTGCGGGTAAAGCCTCGCTCCCGCACACAAGAACACGACTAGTTGGCATTTTGCCTCGAAGAGGAAAGAGCAACCGGGGTCCGAGTTCACTTCGAGCATCGTCTGCTCCTCAGACAGTCAGTCCTGTCCTCCCACCCAGTGCAGCCCGAAAGCACTGCCGAGCCGACGGCTTCCCGAGAGGTCGCCCGGTCCGAACTTGGGCATATCCTAGAAATGTCGCGCCTTGACGGTCGTGCCCTGGGACTCCCGACTACCGTACAACATATGCGCCGGCAGCGCACACATTACGACAAAAGGCGAAACAGGACAACACGGTGTCCAAGGACATGTCAGCAGAAATGGCAGAGTTGGTCCTACGGGGCGCGTGATGGCAGACAAAGAAACTAGGCACGATCACGGTCATGCCACAGCCGGCACAAAACACACGAAAGACACAACGATGATGGAGACACATGAGACACGATGAACACAGAAAAAGGGTCTTGGACCACAATATACGTCATTCCTGCTACTTACTAGTCATGCCGTGGCCATGTAAAACTCCGTATGCCGGCAGGGGTCTGGTTGGTCCTGGCAGGTGCCACGCCTTCATCTGCACTTTCATTTGTAAGGCTTGCTCTGTGACCAAGCTCTGGTGTCTGAAAGTGGAGCCCCATTGTTGATAGCAATTGTGCCTTGAGACGTGCACAATAAATTCCTTAATACTCTTCCGAGAAGAAGGGTAGTCTTGGTCATCGAAGCGTCTTGAAAATGTTTGATTCAAATCGTTTTTATATTTTATTTCGATGTCCCGACAATTTTGTTTGTTCTTATTTTGTTCTTTTTTAAACCCAATGACGGGACAATTTCACAGATATCATGCATTCCTATTTTCGCAAAATCGATATACATACGTATGCTCCCCGTATTTTGATTGGATATTTATGTAGCTTCTGACGAAAGAAGTAAAAAGCCGCTCTGTCGGCGGCGAACGTTGTGTATCCACAAATGGTCATCAAGCGAGGACCCTGCACATGTAGTCGGCGGTTCAAGGTGCGAAATACTGGTCATTCATTCTGTTCGACGCTGCACGACATATTCCCTGTCCTTTCTTCTATACTATTCTGAGGCTGACCCTGTTTTGTAATGTTGTAAACGGGAGTAAAGATACAGAAAACATGCGGAAAACAAGGTGACCCCCACCGAGCGAAAAAAGCTGCACATTGCCCGTCCTCAGATTTGGCATACGTCACTTTGTTTGCCGCTATTCTCGTGACCGCTGGGTCATAACCAGAAGAGGTCTTGTGTATCTGTTGGTAAGGCGACTGCTACGTTGCTTTGTTCCAACGTGGTAGCAAGCACAATCTCCTGGACATGTGCACCGAAGGCGTGCTACAGTCATCCATCCTGGAGAGAGAGTGCCTTGGGCTACTAGCCAGAGGACCGATAATGATTTCTGATTATGAGGCTTGACGTTCAATATGATGGGGCTCAAAATGGGTAAATGCTGCCGGGAGGCGCGATTGTGTAATTGTCGTAAGCTTGCTATATCATAATACCAAAAAGCAGAATAAAAAGACGACCCCTATAGAGAGTGACGAAGAAGAATCAATCTGCTTCAATCATTCGCATCCACCACCATCCATCACCACAGTCTCACATCCAATTGAGGAACAAAACACAAAATAAAGTCAGTGCAAACGAAAGGGAAACAAGATGTAAGACGGCCTTATTGAAGGCCACCCAGTCTCGCATATAGTTCAGCTGAATAAAAACCCGAAAACGGCCAACCAGACATTTGCTACCAGAGCAAAAGCTCATCCTATAGTAGTTGAGGTCGATGGAGGAAGAAAGCAAGGAAAGAGATGCCTCGAGAATGGTGGACGTTCATCAAATGTCTCCTCCTTGGGGCAAGGAAGGGAAGACAAAAAAATCCTATTTCCCGTAGACTATGCAGAATAGCGGTCAGTAGTGTCTTGGGTGACGTAATACTGTAAGAAAGGAAATGAAAGGAAATAACAAATCAACGAGTGGCCAACGAGTCAAATCAACAAGAAGCAGCTCCAAGGTATGAGAAGTGGCAGCGGTGACGTCCTCGTTTCTCGTTCCAAGTGGTCATACGGACGAACGCAACAGACCACATGAGTATCTTTCTGTATTCAAAATAAGAGGAAGCGACGAATCAGAGGAGGTGAGAGATGGCCCGACTTGGTGTAATAGGAACAAGAGAGGAGCGTCGAAGGCACTTGAAATGTATCTGCGGTTGCGGCGGGATGCAAGGGCATCTGTAACGACGCTGACCGTCTCTTTAGAATACAGCAGGTGACGCGAGACAAAGAAAATGAGGCCATTGCAAAGTGACGAGGGGAAAAGAAACACAAAGAGCACAATGATGGTCAGATTCTCGACACTGGGACAACAATATAGGACGAGGTTGGGTACTGGTAGGAGAAGGAGATGAACAGAGCCGTCACAACACTCAAGCTTTTGAGAAGGCGGCGATGTGTGTTTTGCTGTGGCGTGGGACGTTTATGCTTCTTTTTGTCTTCCATGTCTGGTTCTTCCACAAGGGGTCCGGGTTCCTTAATAAACGACGCAGCCCGGTAAAGTCACGTGATGGAGATACAGGGAACCGAAAAAATAAAATAAAGAAGACGACAAGAGGAAAGGAGAGGGGAAAAAAAAAAGAAAAAAAAACTTACGAGGGTCAACCGGGCCAGGCTTATTGTCTTTTGAGCCATCGTTTCCAGCCTTGGAATGGGAAACAAATGTAAGATTTGACGTTGCGGTCGCCATGGTGTTGTGTGGCTGTGAATGAGGTAGGAGAAGAATGGCGATAGTTGAGTTTGTTGGTGAGGTGTTGTATATATAATGCAAAATGTCAAGCAGATGGGCAGGTTGATTCTCGCCTTCACCGACTCGAGAAGCTCTGAGGAGATGAGGGTGGACACAGGCGTCTTTATATCTTCGTGTCAAGCCAATTTTGTTTTGTTATCATTTGAAATTCAGATGGCACCACCGAATAGAAAGTGCTTCCAAATAAAAAAGCATGATATTATTGATACGTATTGTTGTGCTCACGGGAGAGTGCACATTTGCCTCTCTCCCTCTCTCCCCCACGGCATTGGCTCCTTTTCCACCGCCTTACTTTTTCGTCCATTTTTTCTGGCTTAGCTGCAGTTGTCGACGAGGAGGTATAAGGCGGATACGGTGTTCATAGGTTTGTGCCGCCCTGCATTTTTCACCTCTTGCCCGCCTTTGATGGATGGATGGTCCCTTACCCATTCTCCGAGTCCCTCCAAAACGTCCGAAGCATTGGCCCGAGCGTGTAACATACCTTTTGCACCATGCAAGTACAATATAATCAAAATAAAAGGAGGCAATCGGCGCATTTGAGGAAGGAATTGTTACCCGAGAACCATGCTGACCGCCTGATCCCGGTCTGCTGTAATACAGACAGAGACAAAACCTGGAGGGTCAAATAGTGGGCAGTTCCTGAATGACGCCTATGCTCCTCATGAGTAGACCAAGACGAGACAGGCAAAAGGAAGCATAAACTCGATGTCGGGGACGAGTACCTGCGACATATGTTTTACGTGACGTAGAAGAGGACCGAAAGGGAAAACTCATGCGGGCAGCCGCTCGGCCAATTGTGGAGGGAACTGGGGAAGTGGATAGGGTGGTTGGGGGAGGGGGAGAAGGGGTGTGATAAGGTGTATGAATAGAGGTGTTATTTGCTTGCCGTGTATCTTGTTTTCTGGTACTGATACGATACGGATACGATGGACAGTCCGAAGCGCCGAAGAGAGGAGAGATGAGTGATTCACCCGACAGATGGCACATTCTGGCACGTTAATACAATTAGACCAAACGGCAACTCGAGCAACTCGACGCGGGCCGGGTCGGGTCGAGTGGCCTTTGTTTTTACTGCCACCTTGGTTCTGGTGTTTTGGTGATCGGTGCCGAAGGAACGAATGGAAACACAAACAAAAGACTATCACGGGACGTATTTTTCTTCTTCTGTTTTCACACAACAGCCAATTGTCTCCCGCGAACCAGAATCACACGGGCGTGTTGTACAGGGCGTCTTGTTCTAGCATACAAGAAGAACTATGCGTGGTCCGAATACGAGGAACCCAAAGGAACCATGGACGGACGAGCAGGAAACCGACAATCAGCCTGACTGTTGGCTTTTCTCGCCGAGACATTTGAAAACAAGGGAAGGGGAGCCGGGTTGGAGGAGGTGCATTATAAGAAGCTAACAAGGATACAAAGGATGAGAGGCAGAGGAGAAAAGAAAGCAGGTAAAAGGACAAGGCAAGACATGGGACAGACCGCAGGGACAGACCGCAAAAACGCGTGTGACCAAGACATGTCCTTCTGGGATGGGACTCCCCGGGGAGCCGACAAGTCCTGCTTTCCCGGAGACGGCCCTTTTTGCCTTTCTTTCTTCTCCCGTTCTTTTTGTCTTTCCCTCTTTTCGTTCCTTTCCTTTACCGTACCCCATTGTTTCGTTACCTCTTACTTACAGACAGCCATATCTCGGCGTCGTCTACGACTACATCTCAATACGGACCCCCACGCAAAGGATGTCGCTCGACGAGAGCTGCCGAACACTGCCATCCGCCCCCGACGCGTGACCAGGGTATGTACCTCACGCGGAAAACACGCCAAGGTCGTCGTGATGCGTTCTGCTGCAGGATGGTTTGGCGGTCTGCTCTGGCGGACATTTCTGGCTAGTCCTGCCGAGCGAGTGCCGACTGGACGTCTGTCCTGATAGGGCATGTCGTCTGACCTCTGTCCTGCCACGGAAGGCGGAAGCGATGTGCCGGAGAGTGGGTGTACAAGAAGCAGGGTACTGTTGAAATGCAAAGCGAGGGACAAGACAATGGCGGAGGAGGGTGCGTCATCGTTTGTCCGCATTTGTCACATTGTCGCATCGCCGCTTCCTTTGATTGCAGAGACGACACACTGCCGGGGGCGAACCGGCAGTAGCGCGCTATATGGGGTGTATATCTGGCCGTCCACCTCTTCGCATCCTCTCGCCCGGCACATGCCATGATTTGTTATGCCGTCGAGCTCCTGTGATTGGCTCTATCCCGGGCACAGCGGCAAGGCAGACGCAGACAAGAGGGAAAGGGTAAGCGGGTGTGGACTGAGGACGCGGTTACACAAGAGAGTGAAGTGCTCCGACGCTTGACACGGCATACAAACCGCTGTTGAAGCACATACAAAAAGACACGAAAGGACAGAGAGCCGACCAAAGAGACGAGGAACGGAGAAGTGGGGAGACGATGGCGACAGAGACTGTCCATGCCGACCACTCGGTGTACAAAAGCCAAAACTTTGCGCACATGTACGCTGATGCACAGAAACACAGTCGTGCGATGGCACCAGGCAGCCGAGCGTGCAAGCGTGTGCTGACTGTGCGGATTGTGTGGACTGTGCAGTTGCCAGTCGCATGATATCGCCGTGCTTGTGCTCGTCATTCCGCGGCCTCACACCATCACGTCGTCCATCGACCCATCCACGCCGAAAGCCAGCCGCAAAGACCGCCGAGTGCCGCCCATTGCTTGTCCACTGGTCGGCACGCGTCCATGATATGGCACAAAATTAACAACAGCACAAAAAGAGACGAAGCAGCAGCATTGTCATGTCGGAAGGCGTCCCCAGTCCGCCCTGTCGGCCGTGGGTGCCGTGCAGAGCAGTTTCGGACAGAAGCCCAAAAAGTAACAGGCGGGAACCACTAAACATCCGTTCGTCTAGCACGCAAATATGACCGATAGGGAGTGGGCGATTCAAAACCGGTTGATTAATCGTGCAGAAGTTTTAAGTGTAGAGAAGAAAAAGAGAAAAGAAGAGACGAAAAGCAGCGATGTAAAAAAAAATCGGCCGGCTTTAAAGCTTCGGGCCAGTCTAAACAAATGCACGTGATTCCATACAGTCTTGTCACGTGCAGCGTTCACCGCCCTTGCGGGATAAACCAGCGGCCCGGCTTCCTTGCGCTTTCCATTTTCGCCATAAAAACTCGGTGATCACCAATTCTGCACGAAAATTTCTTCCTCTCCTCCCAGGAAAGTCAACCGCAACATCAACTGCTGCAACGCCCGCATGCATGATCCGTGTCGAGTGTCACGTCCAACCGCCACTGATACGATCAATGGTATCTGAATGCTTCGACTCGGACGCCTCCATTGCCACCGCACGAGCGGCGTGTTGCACATTCAGCATCACATTTTGTCGACACGAACGTCGGGTCATTAGACCATGCGAGCGACCGGACGCCCTCGACACGGACATGTGCTGCACTACCAGCAGCTGCATTGTGGTTATCTTCTCCTGTTTTCCCTTGTCTCTTGTCTCGCCTGTCTCGTAGAACCCACAAATTTGCCTACCTCTGTGCCTGCTCGGTGCGCAAGAAGGTCAACTTATTCTTTATCGTTCGTGTGGAAGAAAAACAAAAGGGTCTAGACAACCCGTCCCGTCCACCCTGCTGGCGTAGATCCAGTGCGCCAGCAGGACTATTACGGACAAACATCTGAACATGCCATGCGCCCGATGGTGTGCGGCGTGACCAGCAACCATCAGAGAAAGAAAAGCTGCCAATGGGTTGTTTATGGACCGCCATTGCACTGTCAAAACCACAACACGTTTCTCGGAATTCGACGTGCTGGATTTGTGTTTCTATTGTCGTCTGGAACGGCCAAGGGCAGCGCGTAATGCAAGGCTGACTGTCGATCGAGGTGTAGGCGTGGGAGCTGGTGAACTGAAGGCATGGGCACAAGCCTCTTTTCCGTGTCCTATCGAGTGATCCATTATCGTTTCCTACCGCCAACAGACCTCCGCGGTCCACATTCCACGTTGTACCCCGACTTTTGGTCGTTCACTGCCACTCACGTTGTGCAACTAACGAGGCCTTGCGCGCCTCTGTCGTCCGTTGGGCGTTTTCTGATGGATGCGAACAGGCCCCGTATTATATACATTGAAGGCCAAATGCGCCAACCGCGCCGTCGGCGTCGGTTCCTGTCTGTTGTGTCGGTCTGTTGATGCGCATCAGCAGAGAGTGACCTTGGCGGCCGAGAATTCCGCTGTTGGGCTGCAGTAAGATCCAATGCCTCACTACGCACTAATTCGTACTCACTACTTACCTGTAACAGCGCTGTTTGGCGTTCAGCGGCCAGCACGTGCGCTCCGGTTTGCTCTTTCCTCGTCGCTCATAGGCTCTGTCCGTATTCGTTACCGTCTCTCTACGCCCACGCCCCTGCGCCTTCCCGCCTCTGCACTGGAGAATACCAAAGGCCACCCCTCTTACCCTTTTGGGCGACCGAATGAGGCTTTGTCGTCGGTCAAGTCCCTCCTTCTTTCCCTGGGCTGTTCGGTCACTGTTTCCTGCCGATTTTGTCATCTCGCGATGTGTTTTGGCATGTTTTTTGCCTTCGTCCTTTTCTTGGTACGGAGTGGCCTCTCTCTCCCAAACGTCCTCGCTGCCTCGTATGTCTCCGCCGTCATCCGCCCCTTCATATAGCGCCCAACGACCAGTTCTTGCGCATGTGTATCACCCACCATGTTTCTGTGCCTGCACTAGCATCACACCTGCGCCTTTCACCTAGGATCGTGCTCCCAACACGTTTTGGCCTTTTTCGAAGTCCTCAACGTTCTTGACCTCTGCTTGACATTTCCTTTGCCTGTCTTGCCTCGTCTTGGTGCTTTTCTACCATTCTTTGTCTTCTCGCCTGTCACGCCTCCCATTGCGCACGATCGCGAACCTTCACCTTGTCAGCGTTGCAACAGGACGAACACAAGCATCGTCCTGACCAACACACCGTTTTCTGGCCTGTGACAAACGATTAGTCCATTGGTCCACGACGTTGCGCAAAGCGACAACGTCCCCGGACACGACACTCCTGTCTGTTTTCATAATTCTCCAGACTGGCCGTGCAGAGCCGCACGTCTGCCAAACGAAACAAGGCGAACGAATCACGGCACTTGATCTGAGCGTCTGCGACTGTTGCAGCCTGTCACCCATCGTCCATCGAACTTGGTGCTGCTCTCTCTGTCTTGCCTCCTCTCCTGCTCGACAGACCAAGTGCGTTGCTTGTATCACAGTTGGGCTCCAGCAATAAATAGCTGCGCTCTGGTCCGTCGCTCGGGATTTTCTGTGGTCGACGTTGGTTGTTGCACTTTGAACGCAGCCCTTGTCCTCACCATCTACCCATTCTTTGCATCATACGTCTACCTTCTCCCAGCTACAAAATACGCCATGTCGATCCACGATTCGCCCGGCTCCCTGATGGGCCACGAAGCCGTTCCGTCCGAAGACGGCAACGGCTCCTGGAACTTTGTGGACCACCCCGGCAGCGGCTCCCAGTCCGACTCGCCGTCTGTCGCGTTCATGCCGAGCCCCGCAAGCGGGAGTCTCGCCTCGTATGGTGTCGTCACGCACATGGGCCAGGGCTTCCGCGTTCCCAGCTCCACCTCCAGCCCGGGCCATCACCAGCACAGCCCCGAACCGCTGGCCATGCAGCTGCCGCCAACCTCCTCCCCGGCCCAGCTGTCACCAGGACAGCAGCCGCCACGCTCCAGCTACTCGGGCCCTGCGCAACTCCCGAGCACTTTGCCTCTTCAGTACGCAAACCAAGTGTCCGACTCGATGCACGCAGGAACCTCCATGGGCGTCAACGTCAACGCGCCATATACCGAGAATCAGTACAACGCTGCCGCAGAGTTTCTGCAGCTTCAGGATGCCATCCTGTTCGACCAGCAGCTTCAAGGTATGTACTATGGATCTTGCTTCGGCTGCTCTTGTCCCCATCGCGTTGACTAACATAAGCTGTAGACCTGACAGGCTTCTATTCGAATGCGATTCCGGCAACCACACCAGGCCCCCAGTCGGGATTTATGTCCACGGTGATCCAGCAACAGCTCCAGCAGCAGCAACAGCAACAGCAGCAGCGTAGCCAACAGCAACAACAGAGACATCATCATCATCATCATCAACAGCAGCAGCAGCAACAGCAGAGCTTCTTCAATATTCCAAATCAACATCAATCCGAGGCCGACGTTCCGCCGTGGAATGCCACCGCCATCCCCGAATCCCAGGAACCATCCCACATCTTTGTCATGGACGGCCCCGGCTTGGGCTCGCTGTCGCCAGAGAGCACCGGCGCGTCTCTCTCCGCCCATGCCAGCCTCTCACAGTCGGCCAGTCCGCGGTCTCCAGCCAACATGCAAATGGAGAGCGAGCAGCCGCCGCAGATTCAGACACAGGCTCAGGCAGCACAATGGGCGGCGGCTCTGCAACAGTTCCAGCTCCAGCAACTCCAGCAGATGCTGCAACTTCAGCAAGCCCAGCAAGCCCAGCAGGCGCAGCAGGCGCAGCAGGCGCAACAAACGCAGCAGGTCCAGCACTCACACGATCTACCACAGGCAAACGCTGCGGTTGCCATACCCCAACAAAGCTTACAGCAACTGCAACTCTCCGACTTCCCTCTGATCTCGTCGCCGGATCTTCTTTCAGCAACCCAGACCTCTCTGCCGCCAGCAGCCCCGGTAGAGACAATGTTCTCACCGGTGAACCCGGCGGCTTCGAAACCAATCCGGGCGCAACAGGCCCCTAGCAAAATCAACAAAGTGAGAGGATCCGGTACCAGAGTGACAAAAAAGAAGACGTCGGGCTCGTCGTCGGCGTCGGATAAGCTGCAGCTCAGCAGCAGCCTGGACAGCAGCAGCGGCGACGACAAGTTTGTGATTTTCACCCCCAAAACCATAAGCACCCACGCCGGCAGCGGCAGCCGCTTCAACCCGTTCGAGTGCTTCGAGGCCATGAGCGCCACCCAAAAGGGCCGCAAAGGCCCGCTCGCTGAAGAGGTCAAGGAGAGCGCGCTGCAGGTCCGCCGTGCCGGTGCTTGCTTCTGCTGCCATTCACGCAAGGTCAAGTGCGACGCCCAGCTTCCCTGCAAGAACTGCAAAAAGCTGGCCACCCACTTGCCCCAGGCCATCTGCTGGCGTTTCGACGACTTCCTCGGCCCCCTGTTCCCGTCCCTCATCCGTGACCACTTCCGCAAGGACGTCATGGCTGCGTTTACCGCCGAAAACATCGCTGCCTTCCAGGGTGACGCACCGCACACCGTCCATCTGTCGGCCGGTCGCATGTTCAAGTCCACGTTTGAAATCAAGAATGTCCGCGTCTTTGAGGCCACCCAATCCGCAGTTGTCTTGAAGCACGCACACCTCACTATCGGCGACAACATCGTCCAGCTCAACGCCCAGAGCTCCCTGCCAGTGGCCCTGGACCTGTCAGACAACTCTGTCGTTGGTGCCTCGCTGCAGCAAGAGAAGATCAAGAAGACCCTGCGTTCGTATGTCGACGCCATCCTTAAGGAGGATGCGTACATCGATACACTCACGGGCAATTTTAAGCACAGCGAGCTGCCCAAGAAGATTCTCACAATTGCGCGGAATTTCTACCTCAAGACAAGTGTAAGCCTCCCTGTTACTTACTGCTGCCCTCCATAGGACCCGTTCCCCCACCCAACTAACTCCTCTCTCTGCAGTCGCCAATTGTGAAGCAGGCTCTCCAAATCTACACAATGCAGTATATGATGGCGCATCATCTGGGCTTCACCGAGCAATCTCTCCAGGACCTGCCTCTCGCCAACCACCTCTTCACGGGCTCGCCCTTCCAGACTTCGCGCATGCTCAACCGCCAGGTCAAGTCCATCCTCGACGAGCTGATGCAGGAGGAGGTCGACGCGCTGTTCCGCCTGTTTGCGCGCGAGCTCAAGCCCAAGAACCGCATGGCCTGGGCGACGTGCTTGGCTGCTTTCCTCGTCTTCTGCCTGTTTATGGAGTCGACCGGTCTTGCCATTGACCACTTTGTCATTACCGAAAACCAGAGCAGCCTCGACAATCACCAGCGGCCCAAACCCGAGTACGCGAGATCCGAAGCCGTCAAGCTCAGCCGCGCGCTCGAGAACCTGCCTTTCCGCCAGTTTGCGTTCCAATTCCACAACATCTACCAGACCCACCAGATGGCGACTGCTTCTAGCAGCAACAGCAACAGCAACGCCTCGTCCAGTGCGTCGTCGTCGTCAACGTCGTCGCCCACCGCATCGGGCGCATCCTCTTCCTCGTCCCCCGCGTCCGCTTCGTCGATCAAGACGGCGTTCAACCCTCTTCTGGACGACGCACCCCTATTGTCCGGCGACCTCGACAAGCATGCCAAAGAGTTTGTCCTGCAACTGCGTGCCTTGCTGACGGGCGAGTCGTGGTCTGAGCTGGACTATTTGACCTTTGACATGTTCCTCGACACCGTGGAGGCGTACCCGCTGCCCCGCGATGTTTCCATCAACTACACTGGCCGCCTGTGCTCCAAGTTCCTCTTGTCCTTCCAGAACCAGAGCTACATCTTCACTCCGGCCTAGTTTTCTCGGCACACGTGTTCCGTTTTTGTGCGGTGACTTTTCTTGTACTTTGCTTTTCATGGATTCAAAGCGATTTAGTTTTGTTGTTACCCTCATCAGTCGGACTTCTGCCTTTTTCTGCCCTTTTTTGGCCTTCCAGCGGTTTTATGTGTGGACGAATCGATGCAATGTACACTCTGTAAGATGATCCAATTTAGATGAGCACGAGCAATACACTTTTTTCTTCATAAGTTGTAAGTAAGGTATATTGGTGCTTGTTGTGTCGACGAGAGTCATACAAAAACTATATCTATGCAATCTTCAAATTGCTCTTGTTGAAAAGGCTGCGTTCTCTATTGGGACAATGCCGTGAAGTGTTGGATAGTGCCGCTCTGGATGCCATCATAACTGAGAGTGGAAATGGGAATAGAAATAGCAAAGCTTGGGAGAAAAATGAATGCAAACCGTAAATGCCAAAGGAAGCCGATGCTTACTAAAGAAATAGGTAGTTGATGAAATTAACAGCCAAAAAAAAAAAAAAAAAAAAAACTATGAAAATCAAAATGCCGCCAAAGGTATAGAGAGCTCGAACTGCATAAATCGTCTGCCTGTGCACAGCATTGTATATGTTTGCGGTTGCAGTATGGGGTATGGTTGAGTGAGCGCGGTTGTCGACTGTATCGAACCAGTTGTGAGATTCGTACGTAATTTCAAAACAAACAGGGGCGAGCGTAAGAAAACGAGGCGTGATAGAATGTAAACCAAAGCAAAGCACGACGCAAAAAAGTAAAAACGAAGCAAAAATATTGCACATGCCAATTATCAGCCACGGAATCGGGTTGCGGCTGACGCGCCGCGGTCTTGGATTTGCTGGTCGGTAGCAATGTACAGCTGGTCCAGGAAACTCATCGCAGGCGCATCCTTGAGGATTTTGGCCACTTGGATGCCGGCCGAGATGAGCTGCAAAATGTTGCGGTCGTCTTTCAACGGCCGCGACTGGTGGCGTGCCGCATGGCGCATCTCAAGCGAGTTCTCAAGAATCGTCACGAACTGCTTGATCTGGCCGTTGTAAAGAACACGTGCGGGGATGCGGCGCTTCGTGGCCAGACGCTTGAGCAGCTGCACCCACTCGGTCCACTCGCGATCCTGCGGTCGTGCCACCGGCCGCATGTCCTGCGTCAGAGGCACAGGGAACTGGTACCGAGCCACAAAGTCAAAAGCGCACTGCGACAGCCGGTCGTTCACCTGCGAGAGCACGCTGTCCTGCTCTTGCACAAGCAAGTTTGTTGGAAGATGCGGAAGCTCTCGCTCCTGCATAGCAATGTACTGCGGTGTGGGACGCGGAAGGAACTGGTGTGGTCCGTCAAACTCGTCTCGGTTGACACCCCGCCTTGACGACCTGGTGCGGCCGTCTGACCGACCAGCGGGCGGCATACTGCCGGCGGTACCAGCCCCAATGGGGACACCGCCGTTGCCAGGGCCGCTATATCCAACGCTGCCATTCCGGAACGCGCCGCTTTCAAACCCGGAGTAGCCTCTGTCTTGCGCAGACGATGTCGATAGAGACGAGGGTGGCGTTGGCTGGTCGGGGTTACTGTCAATGGACACGTCAGACAATCTCGGCGAAATATCGTCGAAGTCGTCTGTCTGGTCGATTGGTGAGAAGCTAGACTGGCGCGGCATTGAGCCTGCTGTAGTCTCGGTGCTTGAATTCGTTGGCCCATTCGAGCTTGCTAGCGATTGGTGGACACCATATCGTGCACTCGCATCCTCATTGGAAGCAAAGGAGCTGTGCCCCCCATTGCGGCCCGTGTCACCGTTGCCGTATAGGTTCAACGTCGTCCCAATGGCCCCATATGCAGGGGAGGCAAATGACGACGCAGACTGTTGCCAGCTGTAGCTCGGTGGTGGAGAATGAGGGTACTGATTAAAGTTGTTGTTGATGCCAGTGGAAATGCCATTTGCTTGGGGCGGGGCTTGAAAAGGGGACGTAGCTGTTGCATTACGACCAAAAGTCACACTTTCGCCATGGTCAGAAATAAAAACATGGAAACAATAGAAACATGTGGCTATTGAAGATCAAATTTGGAAAAATACAATAAAACAACGAGGGGAAAAGAAAATAAAACGACGGCTATCTTACCTGGCTGGCCGGTAAGGAGCATCACGGGTAGTCTCATACCCGCTGTTTTGATATCCGTCTGGATAACCACTGCTCGTCGATGGAAAATCAGCTTGTGTCTTTGTATGTAATTTCCTGGACATGTTTCTGTCTAAATCTGGCGTTTCCGTTGTTCGGTTTTTATGCAATTGTTCCCAAAGCTGGCTGGCTTTGCTCAACTCCTCTTGCATGAAGTCATGTTTTGTTTCGCACCTTCTGCTCGTAGTCCATTGTCCAGGATAGGCTACCGGACTCCTCATTCTGTACCCAGGCTCGTTACTGAAGACTGCATTTCCGCTGCTGGCTTCCATCGTGGTGAGAAGAACGGATGCGTCGTGCGGCAACAAGATCTGCAGCGTGATACTTTGGACAACGCATAGGACGAGGTGTCAGGCGATGTGTGGTCTCCTGGCTGGTCTGTTTCCTGTTCCTTTGTTCTGTTTTGCCTGTCTTCTTCGGTGAGTCTCTATGTGTGTATTTTTGAAAAGACGGACCGAAAGACCAAAGGGAGGGAAAAAAAGACAAGTCTTGAGTGCGTTCAACTTCGGCTGAAGTAGAAATATAGTGTCCTGTCACTGATTGGGTCCCAGATGCAAACTGTTTGAAACCGGCGGAACAAAATAAAAATGCTATGCAAAAGCGTATAAAAAAACAATTGCCAGATCGTGAAGCCGAACTCCGTACGACTTGATCCGCGAAGTTGATGGCGTCATTCATAGACGTCGTGTATATCAGAGCAGCATCGAATGTCTTCAGCTCCGTAATGGAATACAGCAGCAAAAAAGACTCTCGTTCACCATCAATAGAGTAGTTCGTGCATGCCAGCAAGCAGTCGAGATACGTGTCGTTTGGGACGATGAGTCACGGTGCCAAAGAAAATTGATGGCGGGAAGAGACGTTGATAGATGGGCCGTAAACGAAAATCTCTTCTCGTTTGCATTGAAGATTGTAAGATGAAGGAATATGGGTGTAGGTAGAAAATGTAAACAAGATGCAATAAAACGGGTTTCTAAAGGGACAAACAAGGCAAAGGAAGACGGTATCAAAAAAGGATATGCAAAAAGGGGCGATAGACACTATGGCAGGAAGGAGCACACGCAATGGGTTGGAATAGTGGAAAGAGGCAGGACCGATCAGGCAAAGAAGGCAAAAAGGACAGGAAAGGGAAGGTCAAACCGAGACAAGTTGCAGTGAGGCGAGGCAAGAAGTTAGGTCGTGCCTTCTCTTTTGGGCTAATCCGTGTCAATACGTCCGTTTAAGGACATGGACCAGGAAAGGAGGGAAGGAGGGGATCGAGGGGGAGAGGACAAAGTGACAGGAAAGAGACAAAGGGGAAAACATGCCCTCTTTAAGCAGCAGCAACCCAGCCCAACATAGTACCTTCATCTGTGGATTTGACACGCTATGCTGTTTTATTGTCTTGCTGTTCTGTCGTCTCCATATGTCACCACTTATGCGTCTCTTGTTCTCATCCAGACCCTTTCTCTTATGTCGTGTCTTAATTTCTCCGTTGGCTGTCAAGGATTCCAGCGCATTCACCAAACAGAAGCGAACACCTCAGCACTGCGTCCAGCTAGGCCAGTGAGAAAAGGCACAGGTACGTGACGAGAGAGGAGAGATGGAGACACGATAAACGAGTGACAAAATAACGGTGGAGGAGATCGGGAAAGCTAAGAAGACGCACCGACACTTGGACCCATGCTCGCGCGTTGGAGCCACGGCGGAGCGGCAACGCTCACGGCAATGGCCGCGCCTGGGCTCGACTCTGGCGTCGCGTTTCCCGTCCGCCATCTTGGGAGGACTCAATGTGCTTCTCAAATTACAATGTCATGTGGCAAGACATGGAGAGACTCCAGGTTCTTGAACGATAATGCACCAGGCGCGAGAAACACCGTACGAATTGCACTGTCAAACGAGGGAGGTTGGACGCTCAACGAATCAACCTGCGCCAGAAAGCGTTCATGCGACGGGCGCTTGATGACAAGAACATTCCTAAGCGTTCCGAGACTCACGCGAGCGAGTGCACGATATTACTTGCAAAAGCATGCCGGAAGACACCTGTGGACCTGGTGTCTCGCTGGTCTTCGCCCCGTTCCCACTTGTCTCTTTCCGATGGCTTCTTCGCTACATCTCCCTAACACTGCCTTCTGCCGCTTTTTGGAGCTTCTCCTCCTCCTTTGCTCTTTCAGCGACCATGTGGCATTCATTTCATTGTGTCAATTCTCTGAAATCTCCCGGAAGACGAGCAGGGCATGTGCCGTTGAGCGAAAATGGAGACGGCTTTTCCCTGCATGGCACTCGTCGGGCAGCAATACAGCATTACCATAGTAGGTGCATCAGAACGCACTCAACGTTCATCAAACACGGAAAAGTATCCTCACTCCATGAAAGAGACACACGCTCAACTGACGTATCCACGGATCGAGCCAGAACAAGCCGGGTCCTCGACGTCAAATCGATAGCCTCGACGTGGCGACAGCCCCGAAAAGACATTCACCAGATTAGACTGGACTCGACGAACAGGATATCGTGCAGCGAGAGCGTTGGGCATCGGATATGCTCCTCGCTCTTTTTGAACCACATCGAACATACCACGCATAGTACCATACGGTCTAGGGATGGCATCAGATGGGGTAAATGCAAAGCCAGGACTGGTCCAGCATGCATAGCGGCATTGCTGCCCAACACGCCGGCTGCTTTGTGTGTTTTCTCTGGATTCCGAATATGCCACCCGCCTCGCGAGTGGAAATTTTGATTCTCGTCCGCGCCCCGACAAGCTGGATCGAGTCATGAATCGAGACTCATAGTCGCCTCGTGGTAGGCGACCGTTTCGAGATCTTGACACCGCAAACCTGCGTCTTGCTCAGCCGGTTCCGAGTGAACTCGAGCACCTTCCTGTTCGAGCCGCAAACCCATTTGCAACTGGTAAGTGAGGACAAGATCGCAAAGAAAGAAAATATGAAAAAGAAAAGAATGGGCGATGGCAAGTCTGAGTCATGAGTGGGCGAATAACAAACCAGCCAGCAAGGCACAGACTGGGAAAACAGAATTTGCTACCGGGCACGTCCGCCTCGCCTCCGATACCCATTCCGCTGTTCAAGGCAGGCCATACTTGCACCGTCTTTGCAGGTTATTGCTCTCTATGGCTCGTCTCGTCGCAAGCCTCATACACCAACTGTTTATATGTCGAGAGAGGCAGCGTTAATCGTACTGCCGATGGCGACCTATTGAAGGGTTTATTGTTCCCATCGACCGAAAACCCGAATCGGAGAAGACGAGCTGCAACTCGACGAGCGAATGGTCTCGAAGCTGAGGCGAGAAAGGGTCGATGCACGATATATGCAAGCAGAGCATCTCTTGGTTGCCTAATGTCAGTGACTATCTTCAAAAACCCTGTCAGAAAAAAGGAAGATCGAAAGTCGTACACCGCCGCTGTCCGCCAAGATAGTGATGTGAATTTGGAAGAGTCTGTAGTCGCTATTTGTCTTCCGGCATATGTTGCAGTTCGTCGTTAATGTTGCTGCCGTGTCAAACCATCGTCGCCTCATCCTTTTGGTCCACAAGTGGATGAGGATGGCAGATGTGATTACGGAGGATCAGAAGCCATCCTTTACTCTCGCAGCGCACAGTCGGGACAGACAAAGATTCACATTGCCATGTCCAGACACGAGTATAGTCTGGGCCGGAGAGTCGATTTAGCACTGGGGGCTCCTTCAGGTTATATCTTACACGCACCATCCGAAACCTCGTGGGAAAGTCATACCCGTTTTGTTTAACTCCCCCCACCACCCACTACTTCTCTTAGGAGCAGACACAAACGTCTTCGAAAATACCTCTGTAGCCAAACATCCGAACCTGAACTTTGGCCACACACGAAGAAGACAACATTTCGGCCCCGTGCAAAAGAGTTCAACACAAGCCGGCATGAAATGCCTCAACTTTGAGTGCCATGTCTTGACTGATCACGCACATGGCTTATGCTTCACGACCAAATAGAAATCGTGAAGGCTACGGCGACGTGGAATACGGCACATCACGAGTGGACCTCGTGGGATGTACGCCATATCAGAGTATGTATAATGGAAGGCTTATCAGTTATCAAGATGACAAAAATGCAGGACATGTTGTTTTCTCCGTACTTGAAAAGCCGTGCCTCTTGTTGATCATCGACTTAAGAAGGAGCCATTTCACATCTTCCCCACGCCCAGAAGGGTATTCACGAGCCGTTAAAGGACAGTCCTTGGCCAGAGATATCTACTTTCTCATGCCCTTTGACGAATCATCATCTCATCTTGTCTACCGTCCCGCATACATGTATCATCTAGGCATTCGTCGTTGTACAATCGCCCAAGATGCACTTCATGTTGGAGAAGGAATTGAACTGAGAGCTACATCGCTGTCCGTGTTCTAGGTTCCCCGTGACTACGGCGCTTTCTTTTTCTGAAAGAAGAAATGGAAGGACAGAGGAAGAGTGCTGCTACCCGCGACGCCTGTGTCCCACTTTGCCAGCCCCGTATGAGCC